ACACAGAAGTTCAAGCCCTCCAAAAGTAGCCACCGCTTAGTTTAAAGCCTCACCTACGAGTGTCATAAACTTTTATAGTTAATCTGAACACGGACAAGCCGCGGTTGTTTGTACGTACTTAGCGCTGAGCCTCAACAGATGATCAACAACCACCGCACACACATACACACACTTCCAGCCTCCCCAACTCCACAAACACATACAATGCGTACTCCTTCGCCGCTCACCTGTACGTAGTTACTTTCGCAGTACTCGGCGACTCTGTCAAGGTTGGTGAAACTGTCCAACAACGCTCTGCGACCCGCTGGAATTTCCTCCTCCAGCAGCATCTGCAGCTCCGCCATCTTTACATCTCCCTCTCTCTCCCTCCACGCGCAACTAGCGACAGGAAGTACCGCCGCTTCACCTCCCCGTTGAGTTTGGGGAAAGCAGGGAAGCGCGTCTACCAATCCTACTATGGCGAAAAGTTGAAATATAATATAATATAATATAATATAATATAATATAATATAATATAATGTAATGTAATGTAATGTAATATAATATAATATGATAAAATATAATATAATATTATATAATATAATATAATTAATATAATATAATATAATATAATATAATATAATATAATATAATATAATATAATTAATATAATATAATTAATATAATATAATATAATATAATATAATATAATATAATATAATATAATATAATATAATATAATTAATATAATATAATATAATATTAGGATTATTATACATCATGCAATCAAAAATGGCTGATCACTCAAATTACTTTTGTTGCTTGTTTAAACTACTTATTTAAAATAAGTTGAAACAACACAATTCTTAAGTTGTTTTTGGGACAACCTAATTATTTTATGTTGAACCTACTTAAATTTGAGAAAACAATTAAGTTGATGTGATCAATTTGTTGTGGAACTATGAAGCATGCTCAATAAACTCATTTCATTCTGATTAATAGTGCTGATTTTTAAGGTCTTTAGCTCATCAAGTTGCATTTGTTTGTTCAAAAGAGAGTGAAAAGATAAATATTATATCAATATAAAGGTGTCAATAGTGAAAACTTTGTTTTAAAATGTAATTTATTTGTTTGATTTGATCATTATTTACAATGTCACATGATCTGTTAGAAAACAAACATCCAAACAATTTGATGAATGTTTTTGCAGATCAACATTTTCATTTATTTGTATTTTATATAGATGTTCAAAAATTACAAAAGAACATCATCTATCTATCTATCTATCTATCTATCTATCTATCTATCTATCTATCTATCTATCTATCTATCTATCTATCTATCTGTCTGTCTGTCTGTCTGTCTGTCTGTCTGTCTGTCTGTCTGTCTGTCTGTCTGTCTGTCCGTCCGTCCGTCCGTCCGTCCGTCCGTCCGTCCGTCCGTCCATCCATCCATCCATCCATCCATCCATCCATCCAGTCTGTCTGTCTGTCTGAAATGTATTATCATCATTATGGTCATGGTTTACACCTCTCTCTCTCTCTCTCTCTCTCTCTCTCTCTCTCTCTCTCTCTCTCTCTCTCTCTCTCTCTCTCTCAATTCCATTTAATGTTGTCAGTGGCTTTGGTGTATTTCTCACATTATTTACATTTGCAAAACGGTTGATACATTTCTCAAAACAATTATTACAAACTGCAAAACCTATTTGATAACCTGCAAAAGTAAGTCACTTGCTCAAAATGGATAGCTCATTCCCCAAAAGCAAGTATTCACGTCAATGAAAGTGTCAGTGTCATCAAGATGAAAAGTCCTGCCACCATTGTTTATGAACATGATAGTCAAATGTCTTTGTCATGTTTTCATTATGAGAGTTTACTCTGTAAATATTTTCCAATGCTGAATAAGTCAGATTTTGGTGACACTTCCTGAAAATGCTCAAGACAGCACTAGATACTATTTGCACAGCCATTAGAAAACTACAGTAAAGATGTAGAGATGTAAAGATGCATCACTGCATTTAGTGAGGTATGTGAGTGCAAGACACTGAATATGAATGTTTAATATTTTTACTGCATATGCTTTTTGTAATTCTAATTTATTCACACCATTGTGCGAAAGAATAAATACACCCTTATTTACAACAAACATAAACTTTCATTGAGTAGACCTGTGCACAACTGTAAACAATATTGCAGTATACTGAACAGCATGCATAGGTCTGTAAATCGTTCATAAAATTGTTAAATTTGGAAGACATTTTCAAGGAATTCTTTTTTAAACAAATTTTGCTTTACAGATTTTGACAACTAGTTCAACATTTTTGTATGTCAGGACTCAAGTAATGAAATGAGGACTATTAGTTTTATGTGGAATGACTATTCAGCGTTTACAAGTTTAGTTAATTTTGACTGACATGACATAAGCAAATTATAATTTTACAAACAGCAGACAGAGTGTTGTATTAAAGCAATTGATGCATGTCCAAAAGCATTTGCAATTTGTTGGAAGGAATGAGAATCTGCTACTATGATCTCACGGCAATTCGTAACATTTTGATGTAGTGGCTAATTCGTATGAATTCGTACGATCTAATTAGTGCGATTTGCTCACCCCCAAATGACGATTGGGTTTAGGGGTGGGGTTAGGTGCCACGCCTCCTTTTTAAATTCGTACAATTTCGTACGACTGAACTCCTGCGAATTCGTACGAATTAGCCACTATACTGGCAAAACCTAAAATACTTACGTTTTCTCGTGAGATCAGGCTGGATGTCCACAAATGACTAATTGTTTTGAGAAATGCATTAATTGTTGTGCAAATGTAAATAGTGTTGTGAGAAATGCCAAAGTCAAAGTAAATGTTACAAATGAATTGCCAAATCATTTATAGAGTTTACATAAAAAGTAACATATATAATAAAAAACAGTACACACAATAGATAGCAGTAAAAAAAAGTGTGTGTGTGTGTGTAAATATAAATAATATAATATTTATTATATCACATTTATGGTGGCTTGAGAAAATCATCTCTCTCTCTCTCTCTGTCTCTCTGGCAAATCAGAGTTAGTGATTTATGAGACGTTAGTGATTAATGAAAGACCATTTAACTTTGTCATCACAGGAATTAATTTAATTATGACATTTTAAAAAGATAGAAAAAACAGCTTGTTTGAGTTTTAATACCATTTTACAATTGTACTGTATTTTGCAATGCTTAATCAAATATTTAAAAATCTCTAAAACGATGAATCAAAATGTCAGGTTTCATATGGCTGAAGAGCTTTAGCACTAATCATGACATAATAATAGCGCAATATGTATGCTAATACTATAAACAAAAGTAGGCCTAGTTATCTTATTTACCGCATACTTTTTGGCTATTATTTTTTCCTTATATTTTTCTTATGTTTCTTGATTTACTTGTTGTAGTTCTATTGTTTAGATTATGTTATATAAATCAGTGGTTCTCAAATTTTTTTTCATCAAGTACCGCCTCAGAAAAAAATTGTCTCTCCAAGTACCACCAAAATGAGCAGAATTGAAATACAGTAGTGTAGTAGGCCCAGTAAAGCAGCTACAACTCTGCACAGTTAAAAAAAAAACATGGCAAATTACCTTAGAAATATAGGCTATGTGTAATATATGGCATACTATATACATCATTTTTGATAAATTTTGAAATATATGTAGCATGTACATGTAATATTTCATTCCTCCGCGTACCACTAGAAGGAAGCCCGCGTACCACTAGTGGTACACGTACCACAGTTTGAGAACCACTGATATAAATGAAGGCAAACTCATTGTTTCTGCAATTTAATTGTGTCACAATTCAACCCTGTAAAAGTCTTCAGCTGAATGAAATACTTTTGTCTCGCATTCCTTTGTAAACAGCGCCCCCTGTGGTGTCACAACAATACAGCTTTCTCCATGAGTTCACTTTACATTATATTTTTCCTTTTTAAAACGACAGTAAAGCACGCCATACATGGATTTGTGTTTGCATATATTGTATACTGTTTTGTGTGTGTTTGTTTCTGTGTGTGATGTGAGAGATAGAGAGACTTTTGTTTTATTAGAAATATTAATTGTTTATCACACCGCTGGACTGTTAGGTGAACGGCTAAAACAGCCAAAAAAAGCTAAAAATGCTAAATGTTAATTGTCTGTATCAAATTAAATATACAAAATTGATTTTTATATATATATATATATATATATGTCGAACATTGGATGCTAGAAAATGGTTCAAATATCTTTTGTGACAATAACCTGCCAAAAACATTTTGTATTTTATAGAATTTTTATATTATCTGATATATTATATATAAACATTTCTAAAAAGAAAAGTTGATACTGAAATGCATAACACATTAAATTACTTAAAGCTATTTCAAAATTGCAATTAATTAGTATTTTGACCGATTCACTCACTTTGGTTTTTAAATAATCTTTCACTATATTTTGGTATATAACTCGTTGCACTAGTTGACATTATAGTAAATGTCTTCTGAAATCGTGCTGGGGAAAAATATGATGTAATTTTATCATGATGTACGTATTAATCGGTCATTAATTTTCCTTCGGCTTACTCCGTTTTTTCATCAGGGGTCGCCACAGCAGAATGAACCGCCAACTTATTCAGCATGCTTTTTTACACAGCGGATGCCCTTTCAGCTGCAACCCAGTACTTGGAAACATCCATACACTCACTCATACGCATACACTACGGACAATTTAGTTCATCCAATTTACCTATAGCGCATGTCTTTAGACTTGTGGGGTAAACCGGAGCACCCGGAGGAAACCCATGCGAACACGGGGAGAACATGCAAACTCCACACAGAAATGCCAACTGACCCACCCGGGACTCGAACCAGCAACCTTCTTGACGTGAGGTGACAGTGCTAACTACTGAGCCACCGTGTCGCCCTATGAAATATTAACAGGATTAAACAACTGACCACTTTGACCCCTTCACAGCTTATACCAACAACATAAGATCAAAAACAAAATGAATCAGCCAACTTAACAAAAACGTTTATTAATATATTTTTACACAATCTTTACCTATATAACAAGCTCAATAATAAAGTAATATACAAAAGGTTTACCTTACAACATTTAGCACAAAACAAAGTTTAATGTTAATTTCTGACCGCTAATAAATCTTGCAGCAGTCTCTCAGGCTGCCAGCTCATGTTTGTCATCATGACGTGGATATTCCTCCACCTCCATCGCCATTAAAAACTCTAGCAGGAAAGAGAAACATTAGTACTTATGCTGCAAAGTAAACTTATAAAATAACTGACTGCTGACAGAGATAAAATACACATGCACATTAGTCTTCAATAACATAATATACTGGGATAATGAAGATGCATAACATTATTATTGGGTTGGTATGAAGTAGGATGTGATCCTGGATAAATGTTTTTTTTTTTTTTGGAGGATGCCATTTTGTTTTGAAATAGTTTTTTTCTGTTTATTACAGTAAAGGGAGTTAGTTTACATTGATGTAGTTTTGTTTCTTTTTCTTTTCAGATTAGCAAGAAATTATCTTAGGAGTTTTTTGTTTTTTACTTTTAGTTTTTTTACATTTGATATATGTAAATAAACTTCTCTTTCTTGATTTAATCTTGTTGTTTGTAAGTCTCTAGCCATTCTGTTTGAGGAGATTAGTTCTCTCTTTTTTCCAGCTGTTTCACATCATCCATCACCAATCATTTGTTTTCTGTTGCGGTCACATCCCAAGACCTAAAAAGATTGTAACAATACCTAAAAATAACTATAAATTATTTATAGTTATAAAATATATTCATTCATTTATTCATTCATTCATTCATTCATTCATTTTCTTTTTGGCTTAGTCCCTTTATTAATCTGGAATCGCCACAGCGGAATGAACCGTCAACTTATCCAGCATAAGTTTTACGCAGCGGATGCCCTTTCAGCTGCAACCCATTATTGGGGAACACCCATACACGCTCATTCACACAATTTTAGTTTTCCCAAATTACATGTACCGCATGTTTTTGGACTTGTGAGGAAAACCAGATCACCCAGAAGAAACCCACGCAAATGCAGGGAAAACATGCAAACTCCACACAGAAATGTCAACTGACCCAGCCAAGGCTCAACCAACCAGCGACCTTCTTGCAGTGAGGCGACAGCACTACCTACTGCGCCACCGCGTCACCGTTTTAACCCCTTCAGATCCTGCGTCTATTACAATGGACATCACATGACATCCCATTTTTCTGAAATTTGGAACATAATTCAGATCTGAAGGGGTTAAAATATGGTTAACTATAAATTATTACCAAAATCAGAGGGGATTGGGACGTATCTTTTAATCTGATTGTCTCATTGAAATGTTGATCCAGGAAGATGTCCCAGTTGGTGAAATAACACTAACCTTCCGACAGTTTTAAGTAAAGCTCTATTTGTAAACTTTGTTTAACTAAATTAAAACTACTTTGCATAGCATTTATTATTCTAAGGCGATGTTAATTTCTATTTAATGTTTTGTATTTAATGTATTTAATAATGTAGTATTAAATGTATCTAATAACTAATAAAGCACATAAACATTTACTGATGAGACCTTATTGTAAACGTATCAGGTTTTTTTTTTTCCATCTTTTTAAACTTGGAATATTTTTGTTTAATTAAAGTAAAAACTTTTATCACACAAAAAGACTGTTTAGGTAAACTGCAGAAAAAAAAGCTGACCAGTTACAAGATCGGTTGAAGACAAAATGCCCCATTTTATTATATGCATCCAATTAAGTATAAAAAATATCTATGTATGAAGGTATATAATATATGAGTTCAGATGCAGATGTCTCAGCCGTCTGTCTGTAAGTTCAGTATTTTCACCTTTATGGCAAATAATAGGTTCTTTTCATTCCCTTTAAAGTGAAATAACTGAACATAAACATATAAGGCTGATAAAATTGCTCATTTTGAATTATTAGCCCCCCTGTTTAAAATTTCTATATAATGGAGAGAAGTTTATTTAACACATTTCTAAACATAATAGTTTTAATAACTTGTTTCTGATAACTGATTTTTTTTTTTTTGTCATGAAGACAGTAAATAATAATTGACTAGATTTTTTCAAGACACTTCTATACAGCTTAAAGTGACATTTAAAGGCTTAACTAAGTTAATTAGGTTAACTAGGCAGGTTAGGGTAATTAGGAAAGCTATTGTATAATGATGGTTTGTTCTGTAGACTATCGATAAACAAATTAGCTTAAAGGGGCTAATAATTTTGTCCTTAAAATTGTGTTTAAAAAATTAAAAACTGCTTTTATTCTAGCCAAAATAAATCAAATTCTCCAGGAGAAAAAATATTATCAGACATACTGTGAAAATTTCTTTGCTATATATATATATATATATATATATATATATATATATATATATATATATATATATATATATATATATATATATATATATAATTACACTAGCAAAGTATAGCATATCAAAATGAAAATTTTTGATGGCCTTTAAATAGCTTTTTTATTATATTTTGATATATATCAACGCTTTTTGAATTGAATGCCTTTTAAGTGCGTATCTTCTGTAAATCATAGGGAAAAACATTTAATTTGTTTTTAACACATTTGTTTACTCTGAACCTGTACACAGTATAGGCAATTCACAAAAATGTACAGGTTTTTTTTTTTTTTGGTATGATACCTGTTAAAGTAACCCTTTTTTTGCATCTTACATCAATATAGTGACAATACCATATATCTATATGAAAGATCATTGCAACAAAAAAAGTGAAACCATCACTAACACAAACATGCCTACCTTCAGTGTAGTCCATGTCTGGCCGTGTAGCGACAAACACCCAGGCCAAACCAACCAGCAGAGCCACGACCAGGTTCACCACGATCCAGGGCTGCAGAATCTGATGTTCTAAACCTGGAGGCCTAAACAAGTGAAGTATGTAACTGATAAGTATACTTACTAGTTAATTTTGCTTTATAGATTTTATTACAAAACACTGTAAGTGACTGAAAACTCACCAAAGTGTTTCATTGGCTGTGGGGTAGAGATGTATACGATCACTGGTCATCTGTTGGCTTAGAGACAGGATTAGTGCAGCAAAGTATACTGAGAGGAAAAAAAGAAATAATAAGTATTGTCATTATTATTCATTCATTCATTCATTTTCTTTTCAGCTTAGTCCTTTTATTAATCTGGGGTCGCCACAGCCGGCTGAGGCTCAAACCAGCAACATTCTTGCTGTGAGGCGACAGCACTACCTACTGCGCCACCGCATCGCCCCAATTATTTTTATAATTGCAAAAATACGATTGGCATGTATAGTATTAAACTCTAGCTTAATTGGCTGTTTCATGTATATTTCGAATTGGATGATGTTAAAGACAAATGGAAAACATGACAAAATACACATATAAGTGAATAATAGCATGTTGTTGTGGGCATACTTTGCATAAGTGCATTGTTTTGCATGTTGTTTCTTCTGAATGCACTGTTCATCTGAATTTCACACCAAATGCAGTGTGAAAGGGTCATTAGGTTTTGTGTTTACAGATTTCGACTCACAGAAAGAAGCAAGAGCGGCTGGATCAAGAGTGAGAAATCCTCGAAGAGCCATGGAGGCTTTAGCCAGATTTACCCTGATGTGAAGAAGGCACAGACAACTCTCTCTAAATATTTTTTTGTGAACCACATCTTCAAACAAAAGTCAAACATATACACACTGGATAGTTCTATGACATTTTCTCATTTGTTTTGACCTGAGCACAGGTATTCCTTAACTGGAATGTAAGCAGAATTTTAAAAAAATTTATTAGTCAAACAAACTTTAATACAAGTGATGAATTTTTTATTTTATTTAATTTTTTTGCCAGTTTTCATCTGGGCTGTTGCTGGTAAAGTTTGCCAGCAAAGTTTAATACAATCTATAAAATATGATACACCCTCATTTCCTTTTTTGACATTGACATTTAAAAAAAAATAAATTATAGAGCTCTGGCAAAAAAAAAGTTTGAGAAATTGATTTAGCGTCAGTTCTGACATTTTATTACAGTGTTCTCAACCACGTTCCTGGAGGATCACCAGCTCTGCAGATTTCCCTTGTCTCCTTAACCAAACACATCTGATTCAGATCATCAGCTCATTAACAGTGACTGAAGGACCTGTAATGAGTGTGACATGTAAAACATACAGTGTTGTTGGTCCTTCAGCAACATGGTTGAGAAAACACTGCTCTATTGGACCGATTTTACCAACAGGTGGCACTGTATGCTTTACAAACACGGAGAACATACAAACTCCACACAGAAATTCTTGCTGTGAGGCGGCAGTGCTAACCAATGAGCCACCGTGGCACCTCGATTCCTTACAAATGAACCCAAAATAATAATTAATAAAATACAGTTTAATCAAATTACAAGTCGTCACCTTAGAATTATAAGGTTCTATCTGACATTTTTCTCAAAATTGAGTTATTGACATATTCTTATTAAATGACAACTTATTTACATTATGGGATGTTTTTTTAATAAGTTGTTTACATTTTAAAACTTTTTATTTAAAACAAATGTTACACACATACTGTTTGCTATGAAATGCAAAAACTTTAAAGCTCATTATCTCAAAACCATTCATAATAATAACAATAATAATTCCTTACATTTATATAGCCCTTTTCTAGACACTCAAAGCGCTTTACACATAGGGGGAATCTCCTTATCCACCACCAGTGTGCAGCATCCACCTGGATGACGCGACGGCAGCCATTTTGTGCCAGACCGCACACCACACACCAGCTGATTGGTGGAGAGGAGACAGAGTGATGAAGCCAATTATAATATGGGGAGGGTTTGGAGGCCATGATGGACAGAGGCCAGTGGGCAAATTTGGCCAGGATGCCGGGGTTAAACCCCTACTCTTTTTCAAAAGACACCCTGGGATTTTTAATAACCACACAGAATTAAAACCATTCAGAATGCAGATAGAACCTTATAATTTCAAGGTGAGGAAGTATGTTCATAGTGAGCTGTTCACATTTTTCTCATGACATAAAAGCCAACTTGCATGACTCTCGATGCAATTCATACAGGATATATTGCACTGCGGAGTGAAAAAAATCATGGCCATCAAGTGCTCAAAACTGAAAATTAAAAGTAAGGCTCAGACCTTTGCTGGTGTTTTAGCTTAACTACATGTTTATAGGCTGTATTACCAAAAATATCATATTTTTATGGTAATGGTGACATAAAATATGATGATAGACATTCAAAGCTTAATGTTAATATCTCAATAGAAGATTTGAATGTAAATATGACGTGAAAATATGCAAAAACAGTCAGAATGAATGCTATGGTAATTCTAACAGTTATAGAATTCTAGTTCCACTGAGCCTACTCTCATGTCCGTGTTAACACAGAGTGAAGCGAGTGCATTGATATCCATTTTTGCCAATCACATACATTTTTGTTGAGCTCCTGAACACGGTGGCCATTCTGCTCATGCTGATTTGCTCACTTATTGGCTGCGCTATTCACTACATCTGACCGCATGTGACGTTGAGTCGGCCGACTTGTCTGGAATATTTAGCATGCTAGATATTGGATTTTTGTCTGCGAGGTGTCGGTGATGCGTCAGCGAGCCTTTGATGCGTTGTTCAGTAGTTCACACATAAAGACAGCCAAGAGCAGAGCATAGCAGATTATATCTCGATCACAGCCCGATCAGTGGGCGAGCTCATTCATTTTCTAATTGGGCTCAAATCAGGCTTAAAATCCTGTAGTGTGAACTAGGCTTACTGTAAGTGCCCTTTGCAATAAAGGATTTTAAACAATGCAAGTAATGGACACTTCGGGCCTTGATCTTTTGAGCAGGGAAGTCATTTGGTGTCAAACAGGACGTTCAACTCAGGAGGACTCATCCTTATGCCTTAATCCCTTCAGAGAGATGCAGCATGAGCTGAACACACACACTCTTCCTCGTGAGCATTTAAATGTACAATTAGTGTAAAAAGAAAAAGTGTTTAACTAGCCTAGAGTGCCATCTGCTGTTAAAGACTAAGCTCAGAATCAATTAAAAAGAGATCAGCAATGCTTTTTTACATTGCAGAATCAATGCAGAAACAATTTCTTGAACTGTTTTCATCACAGCTCTAGTTTTTTTTTAACAGGGTTAAAATTGAATAAATATATTTCTTGATTAAAATAAGGTTTTTGATCGATTAGGGGTCGATTAGGTTTTGGACAATTGTACCGTTGTTCCTGCCATTCATTCTCTTGTTCCGTCTAACACACCTGTCGAAGGCTGACACAGTGCTGATGGCCAGCAGGAGGTAGAGCAGAGACTGTGCTGGATAAGCCAGACTGTGGTACTGCTGGAGAAGGTTGGGTAGTGTGGTCATCTGCTCTCCAGCCAACACATACACCACAATAATATTCCACACCGCATATCCAGCCAGAAATCCATGAGAGAAGAGTCCAATGATCCTACAGAGAAAAACATCAGCTTTAGCAGTTGAGCTCTGATACGGAAATCTGGAATCAAGTATCAACATCAAATTGTGCAACATTATATGCTGTGAAAGGGTAAGTTCACACAAAAATGAATGTTCTGTTATTAATTACTCACTCTCATGTCAGTCCAATCCCTGGACACCTTCGTTTGTCTCTTCTTCAAAGAGCTCTCTAGACAGTAATGGTCTCAAGATTGTCGTTTTTACAGTTTTTGGTACACAAAAACTTCTTGGAGATTCACATGAAACGTTCATACAAAGTATTTAGTTCCTTTTCTGGTCTTGGGACTATCTATGGAAGGGTCAGAGAGCTCTAGGATTTCATATAAAATATCCTAATTTGTGTTTTAGAGATAAAGGAAGACCTCAGGGATTTGGAAAGACATCAGGGTTAGTAATTAATAACATAATTTTAGGGTGAACTAACGCTTTAAGCTCCACAAAATGAAGAGTACAGGTCTTTATGAGCATGGACAACACCAAAAAGTAACAGTGGAATGGATTAGTCTCTCAACCAAACTGACCTGAAGCCGCTGTGAACCCTCATGGCCACATCTCGTGTGTTCCACATAGGTCTGACCTCCATGTACTCCTCCAGATGGTCATGGGATAAATCAGTTGCTTGGAAGCGGCCTGCATCAGGGAGCATATCTGATCTTAATTGATTTGCCTCCTTTTTATCAAATACACTAGAATCAAAAGGATTGTCTGGAGTGGACATTTGCGCAATTTTTGCTATTAGTGACCCTGTGGAACATATGGGGAAGAACAAAACACTTAACTTTGCTAATTAACAAAAATACTTGAGAAAATAAATAATCAGGATTTACTATTTCTTTGTCGCTCAAATTGCATTATCCCAAATAAAAGAACTGCACTTACAAACATTTTACACTCTCCAAACACAACAATGCTTGTTCTACATCAACTGAATATTAGCATGATGACATAAATGGTCAATATATTATTTTGGACAACATTTTTGGCCACCTTAACGCAGTGTTTTCCCAAAGTTACAAATTAATGACATTACTATTAAATATTACAAATATAACTTTTTTTACATTGGATATACATTTGCATTTTCACCAAAAACATTGTAATGTATATTTAAATATAAAATAATTTGATAATATGATATGATTTAATATGATATGATATGACGACATGATATAATATGATACGATATATGATATATGACATGACATGATATGATATATGATATGATATAACGACATGATATGATATGATATGATATGATTTGATATGACATGATATGATATATGATATGACATGACATGATATGACATTATGACATGACATGATATATGATATGACATGATATGAAATTATGATATGATATGATATGAAATGATATGATAGGACATGATGACATGATATGATATGATATGACATGATATGAAATTATGATATGATATGATATGATATGATATGACATGATGACATGATATGATATGACATGATACGATACGATATGACATGACGACATGATAAGATATGACATGATATGATTTGATATATGATATGACATGATATGATATGAAAGTATATGACATATGATATGATATAATATGATATGAATTATGATCAGTGATAAAAATCAGTTATTTTAAATAACTATAATTTCCACAATAATTCAAAAGATTAAGCTTTTTGATCCATTTCAGCAGGAAAATCTAAGTGATTTAAAATATAAATAATAGTATGGTCACTACGTCTTCTGCATATTTTAATAAGTGGAAGTGAGAATGAGTGTGTTAGGGTTAGGGTTAGTGTAAGTTGACATGTACTTGCAAAGTTTCTTATAGTCGGTTAAATGTCTGTCGAAGGAGCAGTATCAGTAGATATTAAGCAGTTAGTCTAAAATGAGAAGTAATTGTCATGTAGATGCAATGCAACTTTTTCAAAAAATGTGCAACAGGGACCATTAAAATAAAGTGTTACCTAAAGTAGTTAGATTAAATATACATTTTTTGTATTTAAAATCGCTTTTGTTATTGTTTTGCATAAAGGGGCAAACCCATGAAGAGGAATTACAGCTTGACTACACAAGTGGATGTGACACTCACGGTTCTTTTCCACAAACACTTTTCCAATAGGATGACTGTGACTCAGAGGGGCAGAGAACAGAGAGCGCTGAGATATCGGTGCATGCACATCTGTGATGATGTCATCTTCCTCCACACCGAGCTCATTGTGAGACTGGTTTTCCATCATCTTATTCTTCCTTCAGAATGAAAAAGACGTTACTCAAAAAAATCATCTAAATACAATTGCTATGAGACTTATGCTTTTAGCTATGAAAATACAAAAAGACAAGGTTTCACCCAAAGGGATAGTTCACAAAAAAAATTACATTTACTCAGGGTTTTTTTTTTTAAGAAAGTTAGCTTTTTGTTCAACAAAAAAGATGATATTTTGAAATATGCTGGTAACCTGAATATACTAACTTTTTTCTTACTATGCCGGTCAATGGGTCCAACTTTTTAAATATCTTTTCTCTGTGTTTCTGTTCAACAGAAAAACAAACAAACTATTTTTTGCACTTTTAAGGTGTGTACAGAGAAGGTCAAGGTACTCAAGGATTGGCCAGTCCATTCACAAGCCATGAACATTATTGAGCATGTCTCTGGTAAGATGAAGGAGGAGGCATTGAAGATGAATCCAAAGAATTTTGATGAACTCTGGGAGTCCTGCAAGAACGCTTCCTTTGCCATTCCATATGACTTTATTAATAAGTTATTTGAATTATTGCAGTGATATAGTTTTTTGTTTAACAAAAAAAAAAAAAAAAGATATTTTAAAATATGTTGGTTACCAGAATCTACTGACTTTTTTCTAAATATAGCAGTCAAAGGGTGCACCAATGGTGCAATAGGTTACCAACTTTTTTAACGGTGTTTCTGTTCAACAGAAAAAGAAAATATTTTTGCACTTTTAGGGTGTGTAGACTTTTGTGTGTGAGTGCGTGTGAACGATTTATTTAAGCTAATGTACTTCTCTTTTGCTTCTTACCTTTTCTTCTTGCTTTTTTTGGTGACTTCTTCACCATCTGTAGGGGACTCTTGAACATCTCCATTGGGGTGGTCTTGCTGTTCACCCTCATTTTCTTTTAAAACAATCAAATCAAGAACAATACAGCAATATATTCCATAAAGAAAATGTGACTAAAATCCACATCAATTATTTACCAAAAGTATGTGTCTTCTTTTTCTTCTTCTTCTTCAGTGGTGGATTGTCGTGAGGCTCAGGGGTCAGCGGCTCTCTGCTTTCAGACTGTCTGCGGCTCTCCAGACCCTCCATTTCTATAGCTGGCTCAGGCCCTGCTGTTGTTCAGTGGAAAACATGTGAATGGCTAAGTACACTACCTGACAAAAGTCTTGTCGTCAATCCCAGCTGTAGGAGCTACAAACAATAATTTGATCTTTTGAAAAATTAGCATAAGGTAGATTTATCTGATAAATAATCTGTTGAGCTACATCCCAATCATCACAAATACTGCAGAACACCTATTGGAACCCGCATGGACCCAAGAATCTCACAGAAAGCAGACGTTTTGTGTGTTTGGTAAAGGAAAAATCATGGTTTGGGGTTACATTCAGTATGAGGGTGTGCGAGAGATCTGCAGAGTGGATGGCAACATCAACAGCCAGAGGTATCAAGACATTTGTGCTGCCCATTACATTACAAAACACAGGAGAGGGCAAATTCTTCAGCAGGATAGCACTCCTTCTCAAACTTCAGCCTAAATATCAAAGTTCCTGGAAGTGAAGAAGGTCAAGGTGCTCCAGAATAAGCCAGCCCAGTCACTATACATGAACAGTATTGAGCATTTCTGGGGTAGGATGAACTCTGGGAGTCCTGCAATAACACTTTCTTTGCTATTCCAAATGACTTTATTAATAAGTTATTTAAGTCACTGCATAGATGTATGGATGCAGTCGTCCAAGATCATGGGAGTCATACACAATATTAATTATTTTCCACTGTACCATGACTTTATATTCTATACTGTACATTATTTTTGTTAAGTGACAAGACTTTTGTCTAAGCAAAGTCAGACCTTACAATCCTAATTAAATAATTAAAAATGAAGGCATGATCATATTTTATCTTGGTAAAATAAGTGTAATCTTTGCCTTTCATATAAGCCAAAAAACATTATTTTTTTCATGTAAACAAATATTAGGAAATCTTTATGAACAATCGATAACAAATGAATAAAATGCCAATAAAACGCCAATGTGTTTTGGAGATATCGTTATTGGGCTCCCGGAAATTGCTGTTCTGTACTGTTGAAAATATGTAGAAAGTTTCAATTGGTCTTGAAAACTGTGGAAATCTTTAAGACATTCCAAATGTGCACCATGTATGGTTTTAGGTCAATTATAATCATGGTTATGAGTTATTTTATGAATAATAAATTATTTGTTTAAACATTTTAATTTGAGCTCATATTTGCTTTTGTCAAGTCAAGTCAAGTTTATTTATAAACAAATTTTGAGAGGATCACTTGCTTATGACTGACCAAGCTTGGACCCACATTAGCTAACACTATAATTAAGTCACTATAGTCACTAATTAGTAATTATAAATAACCATAATCTTCATACCCCAGTCATCTTCGTCTTAAAGAATTCCCCATTCCTCCCCTATTCCTCCTCCTTTTTCTTAAATAGGGTGGGACGGTGGCCCAGTGGTTAGCACTGTTAACTCACAGCAAGAACATCACTGGTTCTAATCCTGTCTAGGCTAGCTGATATTTCATGTTCTCCACATGCTTGCATGGGTTTCCCTGGGTTCCCCAGTTTCTCCCCACAGGCCAAAGACATGAGTCATAAGTAAATTAATTAAGCCAAATTGGCACCATATTCAAGTTCTTAGCCCGCAATATTTTTCCTTAAAGCAATTTGTCATTAGCCACAATTAAGCTGGGGAGTTCTCTCCTCTTGCCCTGCGAACGGGAGGATCTTTTGAGCTCAGGGCTCTCTCTCTCTGGACAGCATAGCAAACAAGCTTATAATTAGGCCCGCAGATTTTCTGCAGAATTCCGCAGATTCCACAGAGACAACACAAGTCATGCACTCACATAAAACAGGACAAGAACATGCAGCCAATGAGAGAACTCATTAACCGCATGTTCATGACAACACAAGCATGACACTAAAGCGCACAACAAAAACACGTGACCACAATGTAAACACACAGAGTCACGTGCTTTGACAACAGACGCAAGACACGAGCACACGATAGATAAACACCTTACCGTGCGCTCACACATTTGCAACGCGCATGCTTCATCTCAGCGCCAACCAAAACTGAAACCAACTAGACAGAGGCGCTGAGAGTAAAGCATCGCGATGCTGACAGAACAAACACAAACACTAGTACAAAAGCGCGCGTGTCCGAGGCATGCAGAGCCCGCGCGGCCACATCCAGCGGGTGCGCGCACGCTCTGCGCACACCCACGAAGGAGCGCGCACACGGAGACGCACACAATGACAGAAACAAGTGTTGGACCCAAGGAAACTCGAGCCACAGGACAGGACTAGACATGACTAGTGTCCGGACTCTGCCACCCAAACAAGAATTTACATGAACAGATTGGCAGAACCCTGACAGATCTGATACTCCAACAATTATTCTGCAGATTTTTTCCAAAATTCTCCGCAGAAATAGCAAAAAACGTCCGCAGATTCCGTCTGGCCCTGCTTATAATCAATCAATAGCTAAGTGCGAAATCTTAAATGCTTAAAAGAAAATCACAATCAGTATTGATGTTGTAATCTATATCATATTAACAAAAATGATCACCACTGTATTGAATTACAAAAAAACAAAAAACAAAGTGTTGGCTATCACTTGTCCAAACCTTGGAAAACTTTCTTTATTTTTCATTAATAACAACATTACAGCCTTCTTCCTCAACCAAAAGGGCTTGAAAGCACAATATAAATGACTAAACCTCTTATTTTGTTTTCTCCACATCTCTTAATTGCCTTTATACTTATGCATTTTTATATAGGGAAAAGTACACAGTTCATTAAATCAGTATTAATAATGCTTGATATTTAGTCTAGAACAGATTAAATCCCACCCTGTTAAGATCAAATAATAGATATTAAAACTATTATTACCTTCTGGCTCCTCAACTTCATTGATCTCCTTCTTGATCTTCTTTTTCTTGGGTTTGACGCTTGGCATTTTGTCTGTGTGAAAGGCAGAAATCAGAGAGCCAGCTTTGTCTACAGTGACACAAGTCTAATATAGTAATGAGATTAGAAATCTACAGCGCTCAAGTACAATAGAAACTATTGTCGAGTACAGGCTTTGAAGGTTTACTAAGGCTAACCCAATTTAATTATTTTATTAACTTCCTGTTCAAAGAGGATAACTAACCTGCTCTTGATGTCACACACATGAAAAACGGAACTAAATGAGGGGGAAAAAAGACAAAGAATATGAGAATCATTTCACCTGTTTCAACTGAAGGGTGTAGGTATTGTGTGAGCATTCAGTGTGCATGTTGCTTTAAACTAGCCTCATGCTGGATATACTGCAGCTCTTTACTGAGAAAAGATTACGAGGAGGACAATTAGGTAAACAACACTGAACACTCTGCTAAGATTAATGCTCAACCGGTTAGCACGTCAATGACATTTAAGCTAAATCACGATAAAATGAATAAACAAATAAAATGACATATAGATATAAATAGTAATTGAATAAAATAAATGAATTTAAAATAAAAACACTGGATTGAAACTCTAGTGAGGATATGAGTCTCTGGTTTAAGGTTGAATTTAAAAATGATCACCAATAGTAATTGATAACCATTAATAATAATTGATAAAAACAGAGTAACACTGCAATGGACTAATGAAGCTAAAAAATGCTTCATTTGAAAATATATTGACAAAGAAAGCGGTTATTTAAAGAAATTGAAATAATATTATACAATATTACAGTTTTTATTGTATTTTTGCTCAAATTAATTGGTACACACTTTACAATAATGTTGTATTATTAATGTTAGGCCAGTTAATGTATTTACTAAATTCTACAAAACATTTATTACAGAATTTATTCTTCTTTGTTAATGTTCGTTAATGGAAATAAAATTGATGTTTGTTCATATTAATTCAAAGTGCATTAACTCATATTAAAGCGTATGAATTTGGATTGTAATAATGCCTGATGATCAATAAATGCTGTAAAAGTATTGTCTATTAATTTTTAGTTAATGTTCAATAAACTAATTAACTAAATTTCATTAACTAATGAAACTTTATTGTAAGTGTGACAGGGAGCAAAAGAAATCAGTGATAATCGTGCTTTCAAACTTTTAATTTAAAATGTAAACTAAATATGAAAATAACAAATCTATCAAGAGTTTAAAATAACCCAATATTGAAAGACACTAAGTATATAGCAAAATATAGAATAACAATAAACAAATAATAGTAATAATAATAATAATAATAATAATAGTAATAATAATAATAAATCAAAACCATAACATGCAATATGGTTATTTTAAATTAAAACCTTCTTATGTAAACAATTGCATACACAAAAGAACGATAAATAACTATGTTAAATGACATCAATAGACTGCAGGGAAAGTCCGCTACATGTGGTAAAGTAAACAGGCAGCGCCAACAGCTGTTGGTTATAATTCAAATAACGTATTAATATAAGTTATTAATATTATTATATATCAGTTACCCATAAACAGCACGCTTTAATAACTAATAAATATAAGCTGATAAATATAGCATGATAAGGCGCCGTATCTTACATAGCAGCGTTTATCTTTTCTTCCAACAGGCTACTTCTTCGTCTTTACCTTGAGCACATTATCAATCGTAACTCACGCTGATTATCTTTAAAGACTGATAGTGGATCTGCTATAATCCGGTGTGGCATAATTTACCGTTTGTTTTGCTGTCATTCTTCTCTGGCTGCTGGAGTCTCTGGCGGTGTTGGTGTGAGAGGACGAAAGTCTTGGCTTGGCTGTGCCGTCAGGCGGTCTAATCCTTGGTTTAATCCTCAAACGTGCATCTGCCAAGGAGGAATTAGTGTGGCATAGATCGGTGAGTGAGGACACCCTTAGAGAACCACACATACACAAATAAACAATAAACAAACAAACAAATAAGACATAATCATCAAATTACCGTTAACTTCAGCTCTTATGTGTTCTTAAATATCATACACTTTTATCATCCCCCCCCCCCCACACACACACACACACACACACACACAAAAGCAGTGTACTCGGTTACATTTGAAAACGTCTATAGATTTATTTTGAAAATACAGTACATTGATCTTTCCATATATAAAAGGATTGCATGCTAACATTATATTTGGTGTATATTTTGATGTGAAACAGTACATTATGATATGAAATGCTTAATGAACAACAGAAAGAGCACATTTGAAAATATCTGCAAGATATTTTTTTAATCTATTTGGTATATTTAAAAAAAAATCTTTATTATTTTTAAACATTAAAAAAGTTAAACAATAAAAAAGGCCTTTGATACACAAATAAATGATAGACAGACAGACAGACAGACAGACAGACAGACAGACAGACAGACAGATAGACAGATAGATAGATAGATAGATAGATAGATAGATAGATAGATAGATAGATAGATAGATAGATAGATAGATAGATAGATAGATAGATATCACATAACAGAAAAATAATGAAATAAAATACTGCAAATAAAATGCAAGGTATATAAGGGTACATTTGAGGTATATAAGGGCTTACATTTAAGGGTACATTCGTTTTTAGGAAAGACAGCAACATAGTATAAATGATCCCCGGAAACAACTAAAAATGCTATGATATACATGCAAACCAAATGGGTAACACTTTAAAATAATGGTCCTTTAGTTTATGTATTTGCAAACATGAACAAAGAATTAGTAATGCATTTATTGTGTCAAATTTTCATCTCTGTTAACATAATTTAAGTTAAATATTTATAAAAAAGTTTATTATATATTAAAACTCATTGATCATTAACTAATGTTAACAAGCACAACGTTGGATTTTAATAATGCATTTGCAAATGTTGAACCATGATTAAAAAATGCTTTAGAAAATTATTCATACTTTAATTAATACATTAATTAACATTAATGGACTATTTTTCTAAAGTGTTACACCAAAGAGTTGAAGCCATTAAAAAAAATATATATATATTGTAATAAATATTAGAAAAATAAAGTACAAGTATATATATATATATATATATATATATATATATATATATATATATATATCACACGAGTAGCAGTGAAATGTATATCACACGAGAGGCGTGCAAGTTCACAGGCCGATTGCCTTAGTGTCCCACCAGTGACAATATAGTACAGCCATAGCGCACTGCTACACATGTGATATTGCGTTTATACAACAGTTTGACGGCATAATCCTGTATATAAAAAAGAAAATCAAACATTGAGAGTCTAAAAAAAAAACTTTTGTATGAAAAACTACTTTCTTCCGCCATTCATTCTTATCTGCAGCTGTGGTCAGAACAGCAGAAATGTTGCTCATTCACCAACGTCAATTTAGATTTTGATGACATTTTAAGATTATAAGGCTGAACAGCATGAAATGCCATCAGTCTAGAGATTTCTCAGTATTTCTCTTTTGCAATTGAGAGATCACAATATTACTATGGTATAAATACAACACTACAACATACAAAAGAGAGAGATCGACTGAAAAAATGAAATGAAAATGAATGAATTTAGATTTGTTTATATTTTACAAAAATTTGAATTGAAACATATATTGGCATATACACTTATTATGCAGTACGTGTCAATTTTGTTTTTGTTTACATGGTAATGAAACGGTATAATAATTTTTTTTTTTAAATGCTCCAAAATGCAATTGATTTGTAAAAGAATGGTCAAAATGCAAATAAAAGTTGTTAAGGGTGAATAAGGATCATTTTGACAACATTGTTGCTTGTTGGCAAAACTTAACAAAAATCTTGCTGTACATCGTTATATAAACAAAACATAACCTAAATGTAAGAAATAACTAAAAATACACTTTTTTTTCACTTAACAAAAGCTTTAGGTAGATTTTATGACATTGTAAACAGTTCAAATTAGAAATAACCCCTTAACTCTAACCCTTAACTCTATAGTGAAAGATGACCTAAATATGTAGTTTACAGTACATTACGGTATGTGGCATGATAAAACAAATGATTGCTGTAAAGTCACAAACAGCATTTTACTCAAGAATTCACACGAGTGTTAATTTGCCCTATATTACACAGAAAGGCATTTGTTTTTTGCAGTTCAGTTCTTTTACATATATTGGAACATTTCAAAAATTCCCATCTTTGTTGTTGTGCATATCTGTTAGTCATGTACGATCAGGAGTAAACCAGCTGGCAGGAATCCACTGCGGTTCTTCTTGAGCATGTTGTATAGCGGTGAACAAATCCATGCATGAATCTTGCAGATCTTCATTTACAATCACACAGTCAAAAAACTGACGGTACTTGGCCTCCATGGCCCTGCTCACGTCCTCAATGTCCTCAAAGTCTTTATCCTAAGGAAACCAGCGGGAAGATATACGTTACATCTTCATCAAAATGCTTATCGATGTATTATCAGACACGAATGTATCATAAGAAATATCGAAGGCTTATCTTACATGGAAGTATCTCTTAATGTATCTATTGGCAAGAAAATGTGGGTCTTTTCTTGTTTGTCTCATGCCTTCAGGCGATGGTGGACGCACATATATGATGTAGGGCTTCAGCATTTTGTTCCTGACTGATTGAATGCACTGGAATACAAAGACATGTGCATGATAAGTACTATTTGCAACCTTACTGATGATAAGAACGTACATTTTGATGGTTACACCTAACAACAAGGTTCCATTAGGTAATGTTAGTTCTAGTATTTACCAACATGAACAAACAATGAACAAAAGAGTTATTTTTTTACTTTTTTTTAATCTATGTTAACATTAGTCAATTGTAAAATTGGAATATATTTTTTTAATTTTGTAAATTTTTTGTGTTGAGTTATGATTATGCTGAGTCAGCCAGTTAACAACACAGCTTGTTTTGTACAAAATGTCTCAATGTATTTATTGGCCGTAATTGCCCTTTTATATGTAACCAGTTTCTTCTTAAAACTTGCCCGCCTCCAAGTAACATATGGATTCTGCCCATCCTCCCACCTCTTATTGTAAGCAGATAGCAAAGTGGCAAACGATGGTGCCTTTAGTTTTTCATCGTTCCTGGCATGCAGTCTACTGTGTTCAGATGTAACTTTAGAGGCTCACAGATGTCCCTACATAGATCCCCAGCTTCAGAAGAGGCAACAGCAAAATGCATAATTTTTATATATGATAATTCTATATAAGAGAATATCCTAGAAAGAGTTTGCAAAAACTTACTTGTGTATGCTAATTTTTTTCCAGACTGTATAACCAGAGTGGGGCAATACGATGCCGGACTTGCATCAAAATTGCATTTAAAAGATGTAGCTATGACAACTATTTGTCTGAAAGATCGATGCATTTTTTTATATACATATAATATATTCAGTCAAGTTTAGAATTAGATCATCAGCCTTCTTGATTGTCAGTGCTTAACACACTAACCAGCTCAAAAACTGTAGATCATCATTGTTAAATAAACCAGTGTCACTTTTCATAAGTATAGATGCTTGTTCAAATACATTTTTCATTGATAATGGCAAGCTGCAAAATTGTGCCAGTCCATCTCTTCTACATATAGTATAATAGTTGCATATCATTTATCATTGCTTGATTTTGCAACCTGCCATTATCAATGGAAAATGTATTCCAACAAACATCTCAACCAAACTTTGTCTGCTGGCTTTTGTCTGAATGACTGCAAGAGATGGACAGGCGCAATCTCACATTTTGTCATTATAATGTGGAAAGTTCAAATACAATCATTCAGACAAAAGCAAGCAGACAATCAAAGTTTTTGTTGTTGTGCTGTGTGTGCTGCACTAAACCTGCTCCTCAGCTTAGCTTAGCTACTCCTCAGCAATGAAATGGATCACCATTCCTGCAATCTCAAAGAGGGAGGTGGTGGAGCATCAGCTCATTAGCATTTAAAGAGATATGAAGCTAAAAGATTACACATTTCTTTAAATACATAAATTATGTTATTACACTGCAAGATGCATTCAGACAGTATCACTTATTCATTCATTCATTCATTCTTTCATTCATTCATTTTCTTTTAGACTTAGTCCCTTTACTAATTTGGGGTCGCCACAGGGAAATGAACCGCCAATAAATCCAGCATATGTTTTATGCAGCGGATGCCGTTCCAGCTGCAACCCATCTCTGGGAAACATCCATACACATTCATTCACACTCATACACTACGGACAATTTAGCTTACCCAGTTCACCTGTACCACATGTCTTTGGACTGTGGGGGAAACCGTAGCACCTGGAGGAAACCCACACGAATGCAGGCAGAACATGCAAACTCCACACAGAAATGCCAACTGACCCAGCCGAGGCTCGAACCAGCAACCTTCTTGCTGGGAGGCGACAGCCACTGCGTCGTCATCGCTTATACAAAGTGATGCAAATTATAAGTGCTGGACACATTAGGCCTGATTGCCTAAGTGTAAAATACAGTATTATTTCTCTAAAGAAATGCATATTGTCATTTCCAGGCATGGCTGTGCCTTTTGTCAATAACAAATACTACAGGCAAGGCTCTGAAAACAAGTTACTTGTACTAAACCTATAATGGCAGGTTCTGTTTCTACTAATTAGCACTGCCCACTAAATTGTGTATTTAACTATGTGCCCACTGCAGTAGTTAAGAGAGATTGTTCGATGAATGCCACAGCGACGATTTCTTTTTAAAGGATTCTGCTTTGAAGACATCTGAAAATCCGAGAGGGGTTTGGATGCAGACCTGGTGCAGTGCAATCTGAGCTGCATCCAAGGCTTTTTAATGTGCTTACCTAACCCCACCCCTAACCCTACCTGTCACAGTGATGTCACTCACTCCATTTAGTGCATTGTGTCTGACATTGCATCGCTGAGTGACGCAATCTCAGCTTGCATCATAAAGGCTGCATCCAGATACTATAGGAAAATCCTCCTGGTTTTGTCTTTTCTTCAAATGCACATCAAAGCAAAATGGTTCACTTTGGACTGAGGTGTTTTTGACAAGGTAAAAAAAAAAAGAGTTTATTTACACTGCCCGTGAGTAATTAAGCCAAAGACTTTATATCAATGAAAATCATATCAACTGGTTTAAAATGGGAGTTTGATGATATATGTTTGATATACGTTAGTTTATAAATTAACTAACATTAACTAATGGAACTTTATTGTAAATTGTGACCAGTTTGATAAACATTAGGGCACTTACATGAGGTTCAATGTCAATAACACATATTTTCCCATTGTCCAATACATCTTTAACCGAGTCCAAGCTGGTTCCATACATGTGTCCATTATGCTCTTCATACTCATAAAATCTGAGAATTGATAAGAACACAAAAAACATGCCAGAAAAAGATAAATCTCAAGATCAGTTATACAGTATATGTTTTTAAAAGCATTTAAATCATAAAATATAGCATTACTTGTGATTAACCACCATATAGGCAAACACTTCCTTGGTCACAAAGTGATACTCACGCCCATTCTTCTCACCCATATTTTGGGGCCGTGTCGTGTCTGGAGAATAACAAGACAAGTTGTAACCTACACTGTTTTCTTTTAAGGGACAGTCGACCTAAAACTGAACATTTCTATTAAAAAGTTCATGAATTCATTTATTCTGTTGAACACAAACCAAAATATATTTAAGAATGTTGGAAACCAGTAGCCACTGACATCCATAGTAGAAAAAGAAAATCCCATTGAGAGTCAATGGATAGTGATTTTCAACATTTTTCAAAATACCTCCTTTTGTGTTAGAAGGGAGAAACACAAACAGTATTGGACCAAGTGAAGGGTGAGTAAATGAGGACAGAATTTTCATTTTTGGATAAACATTAGGGCAGACGTTAAAAGAATCAATGGATTACATACAAGATACCGGTCCCTGGTATGTATTAGGATTGATTTTGATTAGCCTCCTTCTTAGTTCATTTACACCCACTCCTGATGGACCTGTGGAAAAAATGGAAAAGCATTAAGGCTTTAATCAGACAGTGAGCCAAATGGTATTCATTATCGGTTTATTTATGAATATAGTAATCCTGCACATTGAGGATCATACCAATCAGCACAATGAGACGCGGGGGATCGTCAATGTGGCGCTGATAGTGGACCACCTCTTCATAAAGGTTGGCTGAGGTGTTATGACAGCTACTGATGCTGCAGGAATAACATGACGGCTTTCGCTTGCTGTATGATTTCCTCCTCCACACGCGAAGACTGTGCCGGAACCCCGCTGATTCAAACAAAATGATCAGTTTACTTTTTGGATCTATACACGGGTTATATTGGACAGAATGCACATTCACCGTTTAAGTGCATTCGGATTTCATACCTATGTATAAGCCCTGCATGTGTTCACCATTCTCACCCTCCTCTGAAACTGTACAAAACAAAATGTTGCTCAATGATCTTCATGAAAACATCTTTATCTTCTTTAAAAAAGAAGGATTACACACCATAATAACATACAAAAAGAAACGTATGTTAATTCAGCTTGTTGCTAAAAATGTTTCAACATCAAAACTATAGAACATTTACAAGATTTTCCCCCACTTTTAATGAAAAAGACTTACCTACCGAACTCAAAATCTTCTTCATCTGTAAAAACAAACAAATAAATTTACTATTAAAAGCACAAATTATTCATATAACCCAAATTATTTATTGCAGAATGCCAAATATTGCCATTAATTTCAGAATAAATTGCGGTAACACTTTATTTTGATGTTCCATTAGAGCACAGGTGTCAAACTCAGTTCCAAAAGGGCAGCAGCTCTGCACAGTTTAGTTCCAACCCTAATTAAACACACCTGATCAAACTAATTGAGTCATTCAGGCTTGTTTGAAACCTACAGGTAAGTGTGTTGGAGCAGGGTTGGAACTAAACTGTGCAGGGCTTCGGCCCTCCAGGAACTGAGTTTGACACAACTGCATTAGAGAATTAGTAGACTGCTTGATACTGCTCCTTCAACAGACATTTAACTGACTATAAGAAACTTTGCAAGTACATGTCAACTTAAACTAACCCTAACCCAACCCTAACCTAACAGTCTACTTTTAATCTAATAAGAATTAATTGGCATGTAGATGCAATGAAACCTAAATTCAACAAACGGACTATCAAAATAAAGTGTGACCTAAATTGCTAACTGCAGATTTTTAATTTTACAATTCTGACTAAACTGAGATTTGTGATGAGTAAATTTAAATCTATAAAAATAGCTAAACTGCAACTAATAAAGCTGAAATTATAAACTTGTCAATCACCTAATAATAATATTAACACAATAAATAATAAGTAATACAAATATAAATCACCAGAATTTGTGAAATATTGAGATATAAAGAATTCAGAAAAGTCTGAATTGTGAGATTGTAAACTCCAAGGCCTTAATTACACTTGCTAGTTAGATCAATCCGATCACAAGTGGACAACACGAAATACTGATGTAAACAGTAAAAATAGGACATCAATTTCATTGATGCGATGGGGTATATGCACACATCATGCACACATCCATGTCATCCCATACAAAATCACCACGTGTAAGGTGTTTTCTTTAAAAAACAGCAATCTTCACTGCCTGGCTGAGATTCAATATAAAGTTCAATTTATTTATATAGCACATTGCCAACTGCCACAAGGAAGCACAAAGTGCTTAACAGAGAAAATACAAACAAATGGTATGAACATAATAAACAAAAAAAAGAAAAATTTCGCCTAATTAAAAGATATTACCACAGTTGACCATACTGACAGGATTAAGAACAAGACCATTTGTGTAGACAACAATCAGTAGGGATAAATAATGGGGGCCCAGACCATGTAGGGCTTCAAACCTAGGGCCTCACTCTTTTTATTCATTATTTTGCCGAAGCTCCGCTCTTCTTATTTATTGTCTCACAGCCACATGAGCAAAATGCAGCCTGTAACTTTCATTCCGGCCACTCAAGCATAACAGCGCCATTGTGGTCCAGTGGTAAGCTCGATGCGTTACGATGCCGCCAATTCACGTTTTAACCTCACCTGAGTAGTTCTTTTTTAAATTTTTTTATTGTTAAGACATATAAAACTTTAAGGTTGTTGAACATTTGAAGTTCTAAAGCAGCTGTTTTTTGAAAAAGACATGATAGTGTAATTAGAAACTGAATTGGAAATGACCTTATTTTAATACAGTCAGTCGTGAACTGAGGTGGGCCGGTCTAAGGCTTGAAACTCCAGGGCTGAAATAGAGTCCCACTCCGGCCCTGATTGGGCCCAAATATAATAACCTCCGTTTTCCCCTAGTTTAAAAATAAAAAGTTCTCCGAAAGCCATGTTTTTACCTCCTCCAGGCACAGTAAAAAAAAAAGTGTAAAGTGGGTATTAGACTAAACAAGATGCACTGCATTAAATAAAAATTTTTCACACCATCTCTTTAAAATATGGAAATTCATTTTAGTCCAGTATTTTCAACGGAATTTTTGCGCTAGCCTGCGGCTAATGACAACAACTACGTTTAAACAATTTTTTGTCGCTTTTTACGCTTTAACAAGCAAATGGATGCTTGAGTCTATTTAACTGATTATACTTGAACTACATTACAACATCAAGGCTGTAAAAGAAACCCTATGAAATTGAAAATAATCATATAACGTTTTCACCGGATGTTCTTTATTGGCTAAAAACACTAGCTGGGCATATAGCCCATTTACTCATGCAGTGAACAAGTAATAATGAATGAGTGAACATCTATTACAACATTAACAAGTAAGCAAGTAAATGAAATATGTTGCAAACTACAATATAGAGTACAGTAGTTTCCATTTTTGTGACTGACTGATTGTATTCGACCACATGAGTGTTTTTGTTTAGACTATGAATACACTTGTTAAATGCATTTTTAACTACTTGAGGAATTAGGTAAAAAATGGTCATGTTTAAAATATATTACACCCTTGTTAAAGCTGTATTTAGTATTGTCAACTTGTAATCAATTTGATGAAAACACGTGATAAAAACTTTGAACTGGCACAAGTTTGTGGTGGAAATGGATATAGTACAGTATGAAAAGTTAAATAAATGAACCTGCTAAATAACAAGACAGTGTATGGAAATTAAATTTAAGAAATGGTTGCATAATTACCTGTTTCAGTGCATTTAATTTTGTCCGTTATTTCCTCTTCTCCTTCAGCAAAAAAAAGGAGACTTACAAATTATCTATTTCACATTCAATTTAATAAAAAACTAGACAGACCCTAAGTTCTTATAATTAAATACTGAGTTTAACATTTAAAGACAGACTCTAGTAGCATGCACTCTTAACAATTCATGTATTGAATACCGAATGTATTAATTAAATAATGTTGCAAACTATTTGACTATAAATTAAATAATGCTCTAAACATATAAAGCAAACCCAAAAAAACATAGTGAAATACAAACAGATACATACCAACATCATCTGCGCTCACTTTAGATAACAAAGCAAAGGAATGACAAAGAATTAGAACAATAGTAAACAAATATTATGTTATTAAAGGTAAAGCTGACCCAAAATATTATTTTAAACTATGATTTCAAACTCATGAGTTTTTTATTCTGTTCAACACAACAAAAGATATTGTGAAAAATGTTAACTTCTTGTTTATTCAACAGAATAAAGATGAAAGGTGTGGAACAGGTTTGGAAATGAAACCTAACCCTAACCCAACATAGAAAATAATCATATGACTAGACCACATCATTTTTTTTCTACTTTTTTTTTTTGTGTTACTACAACACACAACATATGAGCATGCTGTTTTTTTTCTATTATGCCTTTAAAACATATTTAAAACATCAGGTCAAGTCTTGTATGGTTTTACCTGCTTGCTTTTTTTCATGACAGCCTCTCTGTAATGTCTGTATTTATAATCAGTGATACAAATGTGTCTGAAATGGCATGAAAAGACCTTGCAAATGTCAAGGGGCCAGTTGCAGAAATAGCTCATACATTAAGACTGTGTCTTAAGAACTAGTCTGACAGTCTAGCAATTAGTCAGGGTTAATCAGTCTTACTTTTCGGATTCAAATTAGAGCAACCTACTCTTTTTTTGTAACCTAAAGTCATAAGCAGTTTTGAAAAGTAAATGAAATGACAAACTTGCACTGTAGGTATAGTCTCAGCAGTTTAGGTAATAGGCCACAGATGCTTGCTTCTAATTCTTCTGAAAGAATATGCAAAACAATCCTAACAATGGAGATAATCCTATACTATCATTGACCCTCTTTAATGGTTGAGGGCAAGGTGGACAAGTCAATCAGTCATGAAGGAAGGATCATGCCAAGAAAAGCTAGCTTTCAAGCTTCTTTACAGTAATTAGATCAGGGTGAAGAGAGGGCAGGGATAAGAGGCTTATGATGCCAACCAACATCTTTAAAGACTGCGCAGAAGATCATACATCTGTGTGTGTGTGGGTGGGTGGGTGTGCTTGTTTTGGTGGTTTATGAAGACACAAATTTGTACCATGACATGGGTGTGACCTAGGTATTACAAGGTTGAGGTGGTTTATGAGGACATGCCTTGTGTCCTTGTAATGCAAAACAGTTATAAGTCATATTTAATGACTTATAACAAGAGTCTTTTGACATTAAATATTTGCTACAGGATTTCTTTGAGGGTTGTGTTTAGGGGTTGGGGTAAGGTAAGGCCATATAATTAAAAGTGATATAAAGTATAAAGTGTCAAAGCAAGGCTTTCTCGAGGGCCAGTGGCCGGCCTTTTTCGGCTCGCCGAATGCTTTGGGCCAAAGCAAACTAGCTGGGGCTTCAGGGCGGAGGGAAAGCAGAGGCAGAGTTTGCAAGATGGTGTGCTGCTGTCATTACACTAGTTTTCCCATCACACATGAGTACATGTGCCCAAAAAAATAATAAATAAATAAATAAATAAATAAGGGAAAGAAAAAACTTGGTACTGGTCAGTTTAAGATATTCCATAAACCAAGGCTACGGGGCTTTTGCTTAAGATGACCCTTATGCATACCTGTTGCATAAAATAATAATTAAAGTAACCTAATTTTAATTTAATAAGTTATATTTCTTTGCTGCATCTTCATTGATGCTTCAAAAACGCATGCAAAATAATCTTTAAACCATATTAAAGACACAACTGCCCATAACTTTCAGTTGTCGAGAGTTTTTGTCAAGTTTAAAATGTGTTTGTGCATGAAACATGCACGTTTAGGTGCATGTACAGTGTATTTGTTTGAGAAAAACCACCCGAAAGAGCACTCGCTTCACAGCTCTGTCTTACCAAGAGCGGCTTCTTTCTTTTTTTAATTTTGGAGATTATACAGTATATGAATACAACAGAAAGACATAAAACTTTACAAATTATGTGTGGAGTTTTGTAGTGTCACAGATCTAGATAAAATAAGCAATAAGCTACTGAAATCATAAAAAAAAATTACAAATATATGGATTAAATAAAAACAAATTAAATAAATAAACCAATATAAAACAAACAAAAGCTATAACACTTTAGGTATAAACAATATAATTTACGTAAATCGTTTTAAGCCATTTTAAACTTTCATTATACAAAGGTCTATCTCAAAAAATGATTTTAGACATTTTGTAAAAACAATAAAGAATGTAGGAGTTTAGAAATAATATTCATAAAGTATTTGGATAGGATGATAGTAATCAAATCATGCAGACAGAGCATTTTTGGGTGAGCGAAACATCAGAAATACCTTCCATTTCCTTTCTGTTATCCAGTCCTGAAGGACTGCTTTATTAAAGGGTCAGGGAAAAACTGCATGCAAAAAATGTAGCCTAGTTTATGTGCTCAAACAAATGTATATGTTTTATATGACGTGATAACGTAAAAAAAAAATAGAGCTTTATCAAAAGGATGTTTAATATTTTAAATTGTAATTATGCTTTAGGGAGAATCAGTCTAGATATGCTATTCTGCTATCATTATGTTATAAAAAATATTTTATATTAAGTTATTAACCGATAAATTATATAGTTTTATGTTAAGTTTTATGTTAGTTTTATGTTAAGGATGGGTCATCTTCCGTTGAGACCATGAGACCACTCGATGCATGATGCCAACAGTCGGTCGGCGTGTAAATGAATATAATGAATAAAAATACATAGGCCTATGTGTATAGACATATAATGTAGCTAATGCTGTACAATATCATGTTCAATATCGTGCATTTGGATCATTTCATAATGATGCAATGGTATGCTCTGTCTGCCTGATTCCTGCTGAACTGGGCTGGTTGTGTGATGTTTGATTCATGGGGCATTCTGAGGGGCGGGGTTTGCATGCCTAGCTGCGAGTTATTGGTCTGATAGTGGAAACGGATCACGATTTCAGCTTCACCGCTCAACCTCCCAGGCGAGTGGCCCAGACCGGCCTAATAAAAGCCCTGGCTTACACTGGCCTGACAGTGAAAATGCGGATATTGACTTGTATGGAACCCTGCATTTTTTTACAGTGTATGCAGAGTCCTTATAAAATACCAAAACCAACATGTGTGTGTGTTTTACGTACAGGGTCTGATGCAGGTGTGAGCTTGATAAGGTTGAGACCACCACAGCTCCCTTTGTTTGCTGCAAAAAAAGAATTAAAACTTCAGTTAAGCGCAAAAAAACAACAGTTTGATGACTTAGTTTTGAAAGAATGTTTGGATCATTAAAAACTGACTGTCTGAACTGGTTAGTGGAGGGAATAAGACCGCAACACAGCGAGGCACTGTGGAGTTTTCTGGCTTGCCACCATCGGATGTCCCTCTGGTCTACAATCTCCAGCAAATCTCCTTTACTGAAGGCCATGCCAACATCTGGACAGGGGATTGCAGGGTCCTGCAGAGGACTGTAGTCCACCATGGCTCTCACATACAGCTAATGAGAGAATGAAACGATCAGATTAAACTTAAAAGTAACTACTAGCGAATTACAGCTGAAGTCTATTAATTATCAATATTATATGAAGCTCTGCTAAGAGACTATAAAAGTCTTCTATGTTTACTTATTTACAAATTCATCTAAATCAGGAATGCCCAAAACTCTGTCCTGGAGGGCTGGTGTCCTGCAGAGTTTAGTTACAGCTTGCCTCAACACACCTGCAAGGACATTTCTAGCAAGCCTACTAAGAGCTTGAATAGCTAGCCCTGGTGTCTCTGATTGGAGTTGGATCTAAAGTATGCAGGACATCAGCCTTCCAAGACTGAAGCTGTTTCTCAATTCCAAGAATACTGAGAACAGACTTGCGTTCTTGTGGAGACCGTTCTTGCCAAGTGACCTCCTAGGAACAAACTGAGGAGGCCGCGAGAACAGAGAACGCGTCCTGTGAGAAATGAGATGCTGCGTTCTTCCTGATGGTCACATCACCTTCACGCATTTTTAATGGAAAATTATTTAAATATTGCAGTATTCATACATTAAATTTATAGTTGTCCCCCTTTATTGAGCCACAAATGACTTCTGTGACTTCTCGAATGAGTTTTGCACTCAAGTCTGCATTGATACATCCTCGATGTTAAGAACACATCCAGGAATTTTTTTACACATCCTCCCATCCCAGCGACGTTCCAGGGACAGACGAGTCTTCGCTGAGGCCATCTTCCAGCCTAAACCACGGCGAATGAAGCTCTGCACAAGACTTTTGGCCAGCGGAGAAATTAAAATGGTCGTGCCCAACTGAGTCTGGTTCCCTCAAGGTTTTTTTTCTTCACTCCCATAAGGTGAAGTTTTTTTTCCCTCTCCGCTGTCGCCACTGCCTCGCATGGTTCAGGATTGGTAGAGCTACGCATCGATGAATTGGCTCTTCAGTGTTTGAACTCTCAGTAATGATTAAATCACACTGAACTGAGCTAAACTGAACTGAACTGAACTAAAACACTAAAACCTGAACTACACTGTTCCAGTTACTATGACCATTTATGTGAAGCTGCTTTGACACAATCTACATTGTAAAAGCGCTATACAAATAAAGCTGAATTGAATTGAATTCTTGTGGTCTTGAATTTTGGAACTGAACTTCGGAGGTTGATCATGAGGTTACAAGAGAACACAAGGACTCAAGAGCACTGAATTACACATATATAGAAACAGCCCGAGTTTGGGCCCTCCTGATTTAAATGAACATTTTGCCATTTTTAAAAGACATTTCCTGTATATATTGGATTTACATTGCACTTACGGTTGCTTGACTGTTGGTGGGTTGTGTTGAATTAGGGATAACTTTAAACAGAATATTTCCTTGAGATCGAACCTGTGAAAGAACAGGACACTGCATAAATGGATACGGTGATTGAGTATGTTTACATACACCAATAATCAGATTTATTACGATTAAGACAATACTCTAAATTAAGATTCTACCATGTAAACAGTGATTTTTGATTAATTTAAGGTTGATTTAAGGTCATAATGGCACTCAACAGAAATCATATTAAGACAAGTAGAGTATGCCAAATTTAGTCATCATGTAGTCATCAAATTTTGCCATCATGTACAACTTTTCACCGTGTTTTGCGACAGGATAGTTCTCTGCACCTATCAAGTCAATAACGGACCACATACACCGTGAAATAAGTTTTTTCCCCTATTTCAAATTCCATTAAAACAACACTCATCCAGTAGTCCTTAAAGGCTGATTTATACTTCTGCATAAAGCACAGGCGTATGCTAGGGCGCAGCCTATGCGTTGACGCATAGCCCTACGCCGTTGTCGTCGGCATCGCTGACGTGTGCCTCTCAAAAAATGTAACTACACGCTGCAACGACGCATAGCGCAAACTCTGTGATTGGGTGGCTTGGTAGCGCTGACGAGTCTGGGCGGGACTAAGAGCCGTGCGAGTGGCGCAAGCCCAATAGAGTGATTGTTTACATGTGTGGAGTCTCGTGAAGAAGCTCCGGATGGAAAGTTTTGATTTGTGTTTACCTCATAGTTAAAGTTGTTGCACGTCCACCGGTTCCTGCCTCAAAATGAGCGAGTTTGAACCACTTGTAAATTCAGAAAGCATTCAGAAAAAACAAAACACCAGCAAAGAAACTCAACACAGAGGAACATTAACACCTCATTGCCAACTAGCATTTCGGAAGTGTTATTGCAGATCAACAAAGATGCACAGAAGTATAATAATGTTGCATACGCCGTGGGTTACAAAGGTCACTTGATGCAGAAGTATAAACCAGGCTTAATTCGTACTCGCATCCAATATATCAGTTTATCACAGGGGGCATGCATGTTCCTGTATGAAAGTGAAAGTGCCAAACTGCAGTTAAAGCCGAAACATCCAAAATTACATGAAACTTCTCAGGAAATGTGGATATCATGGTGACACAACAATGGTAATTGTTTTATGTGCTATAACATAAAAAATGTGATCATGAAAGGAACATTCAAAAACTCATATAAACACCTTGATCATATTATTGTCTTATTCAGATTAAGGCAAATAATTTGATTACTGATGTCCATGTAAACGTAGTCATTGTAAGGGTAGGTACTATTCTGGGATGGTAGGAGGGGCGGGGAGAGATGTAAGAACACACAAAAAGGAAAGTTTACCAGAATATTTATGACATGCTCAGGCTGCATTCCTCGAACTTTCTGTCCATTTACTTCCACCAGCTTGTCACCAGAATTAAGAAGTCCTACAAGACACACAAACACTGCTTAAATCCTGCCACCCGCTCACATTCAAATGTGCCTCTATTCAATCAACATCCGTTAATAGAAACAAGCCTCCACCTTACAGATTTTTTAATAATCCATATCATGCACATGGAAAATACAATCTTAAAGACAACATCTACTTCTATTTCATTGCGACTTGTTTTAATTTGATGAGATTGAAAGCTGTACCAATGGGTTACTCACCACTGCGGTCTGCCAGTCCTCCATGTATCACCCTTGCAATGAAGATGTTTCCTGTTTTCTCATCCTTCCTAATTGTTGCTCCCTAAAAATGGGGAAAAGGACAAAATGGTTAGCCAATTGGTTGTCAGTGATGACTTGCATCACATGGTGATTCCCACAGATGTTACAGGTTCAGTGAAGATTACATCATGATGAAATATTAGAAAGACACTTCAGTAATGAGATTGCAGAGTACGGTCATTTCACGGTCAAGAAAGAACTTTTCACAGTTTTGGGAAGGACACATATGACTGATGAATGGGTTGATGAAAGTGCTTCGAATCAATATTGAATAGAGAACAGTGTCACTCTTGAACAATATTACCAAGCACCAATGGATGAATGGTGAAAATGGATGAGATGAAAAAGAAACTCAATTAAGAAAATAGTTGCCTGTTAGTCAAGTAGTTCCACAGTGGTGAAGAGTGCCATTGTGTGTTCAGTAAGCGAAGAGTGGTGTGAGGAGAGAGAAGTGGGAACACTGCCACTGTTATTTCCTCATCTTTGACTTTTTCTTCTTGCTAGAGAGGCAAAGTATTGCATCACAGTCATCGTTGGGACTGGAGGCTGTCAAACCGTTTGACAGGGGCGTCTGTTCGGTTTTATTTCCAAATTTGTTTCTCGTCTGATTGGATAAAGATCTGCATTGTGTTGCTTCGCAAGAACCTTCAACATTACACATCTGAAAGGAGGAGGAAAACGATGACAAAGATGAGGATGAAGACGACGAGAAGGAGGAGGAGATGCAAGGAGCATTGCTGCAAGATCTCCTGGTTTGTACTATTGGCTGTCCAGGCCAGTTTGAAACACCATCATGTTGGGGTTTTGGAGCATGAGAAACTTCTGGAGACTTGTTTGCAATAATAAGACCCTGCAGTTTGTCAACCACTTCCACCAACAGACTCAACGCCTGAGCGTTTTCCTCCATGTTGTCAGTCATCTTCTCCGTCACGGCCACCATTTTCTGCCTGAGATGTCGCGCATCGCTAGTGCTTGTGTCCATGATGTTGGCAACAGTATGAACAGTGGACCTCAGCTCATCCAAGCTGTGTTGCCTCTTGAACCTCAGAGCTGGATGAGAAGAACACGTGACATCTATGGAGTGGTGCCGTTGAAGCATAGGGCTCGAGGGGGCAGTCTGGGAATAAAGACTACATCCAGGTGGACAACATGAGCATGGGTACACTCGAGATGAGGCAGTGCAAGATGTGCATGGGTGCCATTGACCTTCGACTATGCTTTCTACACCATTTCCACAGTTCTCTTGAAGTTTTGAGGGACAAAACAAAATAGAGTTAGAATAAATATAAAGACAGTAATAGGCCAGTAGTACTGTAGATGTATCTGGGACTTGACCCTTACCCACGATCAAAGAATTATAAACAGCAGGAGCTGACAGGTTAAGACCTCCTCCAGAGAGATGGGCAGTTTGGCAGCACAGGTTGCAGCTCCCGGTGGACTGATACCTGGGCAGCTTGTGTGCCTGTTTAAAGGGTATATTGGAAAGACTGTCTGCGGACTGTAGGGGACACTGTTCCTCTGAGCCAAATTGCCTGGCAAAAGCCAGTTTCTCCATTGTAAACCGCCTAAGACTGTTCCAGTAACTGGGCTTTCCTTCTCCAGCACACTTATATGTGAAACAACAGGATATGTGTTAATAAATAAACAAAGTTCAGTCTAAGTTTTGGATTGTACAGTAGAGCACAGGTGTCAAACTCAGTTCCTGAAGGGCCACAGCTCTGCACAGTTTTGTTCCAACCCTAATTAATCACACCTGATCGAACTAATTGAGTCCTTCAGTCTTGTATGAAACCTCCAGGTAATGGCGCAGTCACACTAGAGTTTGAGCATGAGAAATTCTGTTGAAAAGAGGTGAGCTTAAATAAGTCGATTGTGCATTTAAAAAAGTGAGTGATTGGTCTATGTTTTACATTTCTGTCCAAGAGGTCATGTTTTGATCTTCGATTGGTCTCATGCATTCACATGATGCGATTTCGCAGGTCAGAGTTCACCAAGCGTGAACTGCGAAACTTGATACACAAGCTTGCATTTTCAGTCTGACACATTCGCATGCATATGAATGCAAGTCTATGGTGAGACAAGTCCAGTGTGACCATGGCTTAAGTGTGCTGAAGCAGGGTTGGAACTAAACTGTAAAGGGCTGCAGCCCTCCAGGAACTGTGTTTGACACCCCTGCAGTAGAGCAATGGAGAGTGAAGATAAACCATTAACTTCATATGTTTTTGTTGCAATGAGAAAATGATCGTTATCTTTGCTAAAACAGAATTGGATGTGGATATGAATATTTTAGTAAACAAAAACTAAGACTAAAACTATTGGTAAAAACACATTTTCTTTAACTGAAAAAAATTAGCACACAAAAAAAAAACTATTCAGAATTAATAAGCACTCATTCTGCCATGGAAATCTGACCTGCGGCTGTTTGGAGAAACACCTGGTGATAAGATTTTACCAAACACTAGGCATGTTTAACACTTAAATAATGGCTAACTATATTAGCAGGTTTGGCATGCTGTTCAGGGAGAGAACCCTGAGCTCAGAGATAGATGAGCCCAAGATGATCCCGCCGCGTCAATGAGCATTAGGAGGGACACGAGATTAGGCAGCTCTTGAGAGCTCCACGGGAAAAGAATGCCAATCATGCCAGTGTGTACAGTACGTATTAAGTGCTTGTGACTTTTACTATTATTTAATTTACTTGTGTCACATGTCTTTAGACAGTGGGAGGAAACCGGAGTACCCGGGGAAAACCCACGCAAGCATGGGAAGAACATGTAGCTACTGGCAGCTAGCTCTCTGCAACTCTCATATGGTCGCCCATTGAAGCTAAGCAGGGCTGCGCCTGGTCAGTACCTGGATGGGAGACCACATGGAAAAGCTAGGTTGCTGCCGGAAGTGGTGTTAGTGAGGGGGCATTCAAACTGTGGTCTGTGTGGGTCCTAACACCCTTGTGAAGGGGTCTGACTCTGTGGTTGTTAAAAATCCCAGGATGTCCTTTCTAAAACAGTAGGGGTTTAACCCCGGCATCCATTGGCCTACTAACCATCCCCCTATCAAAATTGGCTTTATCACTCTCCTCTGTGCGGTCTAGCGAAATATGTCTGCCATCGCAGAAACCCACGCGAACGCAGGGAGAACATGCAAACTCCACACAGAGATGCCAACTTAAGGAGGTGACAGCACTATCTACTGCGTCGCCAGAATTATTATTATTATTATTTATGTTGGTCTTCCATAACGAAGATGAGGAATAAAGTTAGGCTGGATATTTATGTAAGATTTGGCATGATCCAATAGGCTATCGATTAGCGATTATGATTAGCGATAGGGATCAGCTGCAGTCAATCTTATCTTGTGCTCCTCTAGAAATTAGTTTGTGAAACTTCACTTATTACTAGGAGGTTTGCATAAGACTTCTTATAAACTACAATGACTCAAACTAAATCTGAAAAAAAAAAACATATAAAAACAATCTAAATGGAAATGTGCTCATAAAATAAAAACCAAACTAAAACTAACAAATCTAATAATGAAATGAACTCAATCGAAACTTAAAAATTTACAGCAGATTTTTAAAAATAGTATACAAATAGAAACTCAAAAGTGCAACACTTTAATAACCTCGGCGGGCGGTGATGCAACAAGATGTTAAAGCTAAAATCCTTGTATCAGCTTGAATGGGCTTATTTTTCCAATATTGTCCTGCCAGATGTACATTGTCCCATTTATTATGCAGCACTACTGTATGCCACAAAATTAAATCTTCAGCATTCAGAGTTAAGCAGCATTTTAGGCTAAAACACATAACTGTGGCTCTAATAATACACACAATGAAGTCCATGTTGGACAAGATTTGTATTTATGTACTATAATAAGACTCGGTTCAATAGGTTACAAAAACCCATTATTACGTAACAATACAGCACTTACCATAGATGAGAAAAATACATTTAATACCACAAACACTTTACATGATATCACACTATAGTGCAACAAGGGATATTTAAGGGGAATTACACCTAAGCTGTTCACTAACGTATCTGAAATTGCAGTGCTATTTACGATCTGATCCTCACCAGAGGCTGTTTGTTCTTTACAAGGCAAACAATCCTCACAGCCTCCTCATTGTCAGACAGATTGTCAGGAAGGGGCGGAAGCACTGGCCCATAATCTCTCTGAGCCACAGAATCATGGGCAGAGAGCAAAGCCTGTGGAGAAAAACACAAGAATCAGTCAAAAAGACTGGCGTACATTTATTAACATATTGCTGATAAATATAACCCAAATTCAACTCTAACCTGCATATGAGGGCTTTTTAGCAAAATATACAGCTCTTGTGCATCAGAGGAGGGAGCAGGCAGTCCTCGCACACTGGCTGTAATCTGTTGGACAGGAGAAGACAGATGATGGAAAGAGAACAGAGGATGACAGGATTACTTCACCCGGAAATGGAAATAATTTCATCATTTATGGCAGAAGAAGGCTCATAATATATAGACTGAAGTGCTCAAATATATTTATTATTCCCTACTATCATAGTGAGGCTTTAAAAGCACTACCATACAATTTGTCATAGTGCTCAAATCATCCTATACTCACACTCATGTATGCCTTTGAAACACACTTTGCTGAATATGTCGGCTGATTTTGATATGATTACCAAGCAGATCTTCCTGGCAACCAGCCAGAAACAGGCATTTCAGAAACCACTGTGGTTCAGATTTAAAATCCCAGACAGGTCCTTCAGGGTGTCTTTGAGGAGTGAGGTGTCCAAATCACAACTGCTGCTACTGGAATGCCTCAGGGCTCAATTCTTAGACCACTTCTCCATGTACGTACATGACATCTACTCTCATTCTAATCTCATGATTTGACAATTGCTGTTGAGACTTTTCTTTCTAGATAAAGGGCCATCTACCTTGCCAATCAGACGTCCTATCTCAACTTTTTCATCCAGATAAGAACATTACCCAATCACACTCTAAATGTACAGTATAATTCCCTTTTAGGCCTTCCACCCAGTACTATCATACATTTGCAACTGAAACTAATGTGACTACAAGACATTATTGACAACAGTATGGACGTCACATCTCTGTTTGTCAATTTGAACTGGCAGCCAATAGCTGCTCACATCAATTTTAAAGCTCTATTGTTTGCCCCCATACTGTAAAACAACCACTAGCTCTGCACCCCTTTACCTAAATTGACTCCATCAGATTGAGTTGCATTCTGCAGGTGAACGGAGCACTGTGGTGCCATCTTCAAGATGCAAAAACAGTGGTGTAGCTAAAACTGCATAGCCTCCTGCAAGAGTGAAAGCAGGCCGCTGACTGCCAAATCAAAACAGCCGGCTCAACTGGCAAGTCATTTAGCCTACTATAGTTTATTTTGCATTTAAAAGTTGACTTCTATAATGTATTTTTTTATTTTATTTTTTTTTTTACAAATGAGAAAACAATGAAATAATTCTTTTTAAAAAAAAACATTTAAACAACTCATAAAAACCTTTAAAAAGTCCATAATGTCCTATTTCATCAATCATTTTACTGCACAAAGCTCACAATGACTGAAATGCCCATCTGACATGTGCACTGGACTAGCAAGATTGGAAAGCCTGTCCTGGGTTATTGTGGTAACCAGTACAATGGATAGTTTTGTCATTAAGAGTAAAAAACTGTTTAAAATAGGTTACTCTTTTGTTTTTGTTCATTCAAATAAAAACAAAACATTATTCAAAACTGAATATTTCACTTTTACTTAAAACAGTTTGTCTATTATGAGAGAGAGAGAGAGATAGAAGTTGTTAGCATGGTTTTAGGATGAATTAGCATGTCAGTATAAACTAGCATGTTGTTAGCATGAATTTAGTTTGAATTTGCATGTTGCTAGTATGATTTATATGTTTTTTAGTATGGTTTTAGTATGAATTGATATGCCGTTAGTTTGTCCAATGTAAAATCAATGGCAGTTTTTTAATAATGGAAGTCTATTGGACAGTTGCTAGGGTGCCATAAGTGGTTGCAAGGGTGTGGCTAGTAAGTTGAAAGGTCATCAGTGTTTGGCAGATTGGTAGTCTGAATAAAATGAGTGTAACCTTTAGTCTGTATGACAGTCTAGCGGAAAGTAATGAGGTCACAAAGTTCTGTCCAATGTTAAGTCAATGAGACTTTTCTGAATTTTCCAGGTCAGTTTTCGAAAAACCATAAGTTAGATCAGTTAGGAAATATATAGCATCTCAAGTAAGACCAGTTTGGAGGTTTGGAGTAAGTTTGGTGGTTGTAGTATATGAACGGTCTAGGAGGAGATGCATGTAGAAATTAGTCTTAGAAGAAGAAGATGACGACGGAAGAATAATAAGTTTATGTAGTATAACAGTATGTTGGCTTTCTCAAGCCACCATAAATATTATATATTGTATAATATGATATAATATTTATATTTTATTTAATTATTATATATATAACATATATTATCATTTTTACTACTATTATCTATTGTGTACTGTGTTTTTATTATAATATATATTATAGAGAGAGATGATATGATATTGAATAATAATGTGATATATTGAATAATACGATATATTAAATAATTTGAACTATTAATAAAACTTGAACTTATACATATATTATTTATAATTTTATTTAATTATTGTTTATATTTATATATCTTTTTTTTTTTTTTTTTTTTATTACTACTGTTTACTGTGTTTTTTATTATATATGTATGTATGTTCTTTAATTTTTATGTAACTTTACAACTGCTTTGGCGATATATATGTAACATTCAGGGTACAGTTTGTCACACGGTTCTTATTTTAAATTTGTTTTTGTTAATGTATGAATAATTTAAGTGAAACATATTTTGTGTATAGGATTTTATGGATCATAGTATTATTTAATATTGATAGTATTACAGTATTTTATAGTAATATTTTTATTGGTTATTTAATCAAATTGAGCAATCTTCCACAAGGTTTCTAGCGGGTTGATCAGGTCAAATTTAACATTTTTTAAGACCTTTTAAAGACCATTTTAGGACCATAATGAATTAAATTTCAGACGTACACAAGGCTAAACCCTAAAGATTTTTAATGGCCAAGTTAAAACCTTCAGGAAACATTAAAAATGCATGTTATCATGAGGAAGATAATTAAACCATATTAATAGTAAACCAAGTTAATAAATAAATGCGGTCCCACTTTATATTAAGTGGCCTTAACTGATAACTAACTTACACAGCAATTAATATTTTGTTACAATGTACTTATTGTGTAAATACATGTATTTACTGTGTACTTATGCTTGATTAAATACATGTATGTAATTACATCTGTAATTACATTTGTAAATACACTGTTGACCATCCCTTATACCTTAACCCACCCTTAAACCCACCCATGCCACCAAACCTGTCCATAACCCAACCTATTCCAACTCTAAAGCACCACAAGTGTTTTCAAATGGATTCTAAACACAGTAAGTACATTGCATTTATTTTTTTGATGTAAGTACATAGTAGTTAAGGACACTTAAGACCAGTTTAAAATGATTTAAGACCTACAACACAATATCTGAGCAAATTTAAGATTTTTTAAGGCCTAATTTTTGAAATTTAAGACATTTTAGGATTTTTTAAGACGCTGCAGATACACTGTTTCAGATAATGATCAGTTAATGAATTGTCGTTCAATTACCAAAAATAACAGCCCCAACTTTTTTGGGGACTCCAGCATGAGGTGAGATCTACTAGGCCACTGTGCATCACTTTAAAAGACTTTAACCCATAGGTCTCAAACTGGATTCCTGGAGGGCCGCAGCTCTGCCCAGTTTTGCTCTAACCCTAATCAAACACAGCTGACCCAACTAATCAAGGTGTTCAAGACTACAAGATGTCATATAAACTGGTTTGCCACACAAGAGACTGTTGAGCAAGTGTGAGTTGGAGTGGTTGGAGCTAAACAGAAATTGAGTTTGAGACCATTGCTTTAACCTTTACTGTTCCATGCAGGTGTAATGACTTGTTAATTCAACCAGAGCAGCTGAATCGAATGACATTTTTTTTTGTTAACTGGCATTTCAGGACCAGCTCAATGCACTGAATTACACTAACAAGGACTCATCATAGCACCTAAAAAATGTTGTCTTTATTGATTTGATTGCTTCCATAGCTTGCTTTGATACTCTTTTGTAAGCTTTGGATAAAAGTATATGATTGTAAATGTAAATGTAGAAGATTCATGATGTACCGTGTGGTGAAATCATCCTATACATGTTATCAATGATCATTTTCTCACTAACATGTTTGGCCCTGGAAGACTAACAATATCAAATCCTCATTTTCTCACAGTTATAGACTTTTAGACTCATGCTTTTCTGATGGTCTCACAAAGAATTATAGAGGCTTTTATGTAATATCAGAGTGATTAAAAGGCCATAGTGTTTCTTATATATGTCAAAGGCAGTGATAGCGGCATGTACTGACCTCCTGAGAAAGTCTTGTGGAATAAGGCAGGTATGGATTTGGAGCATCCTGACTGTGCTGCACCAGACACTCATATACCTGTAGGAAACAACACATCCTTTACATGCAAACTACTTGCATAGTACAGTCATTTATCTGGTGTAATGCCAATGATGTTAATAAAGTATAAAACTGGACACTGTTAGTGGTTGTTAAGCAGTGGTGAATGAAGAACACAAATCAAGCACTTGAGTCAACGTACAAATATCCTATTAATTTAATAATATATTCTTATAAAAGTATACATATTTTACTTTATATATACTTGTACTTACTGATGAATGTTTATTTTGCACAAAATAAAACGTATTTCCAAAAGTATATATAATATTTAGAATTAAGTATAATTATATTAATAATTAACAAGGTAAAATAAAATAATATTTCATATACCACGACAGTTAAAGTATGTAAATATCTGCTGACAAATTTTTCAATATTAAAACATGTAACGTAAAACAAAAATAACACTCTGATAGTTTAAAAAATGTACTTAAATGTGAAATGTGCATGTGAAATCAAAATAAAGTGTTTTTAGACGTTATCATTAGTCTTAAGGATATCTAAAAGCTGGTATGTTCCAAAACAGTGACTAAATTTGCAGTTAGAAGAAAGAAACATCCAACGCTTGCAGTTTGTCATTTTATGCCTAAATGGATGTCAAATCAAATGGGTCAAACATCATCTCATACATATATATATTTCTCATTAAATCTTCTGACCAACCAAATGCTCTTTATCTAAATTGTCCTGCCCTCTTCAAGATCCTATTGCTATAGGGTGTTGCTATTGGGAAACAACTGCGGCTGGAAGGTATTTATATTATTTATTAATTACACTTTAATTGTAAAGTATTAACGTCTACCTCCAGCCCAACCCTAAACCTGACAATCACAGTAACGTAAAAACAGTAATTATATCGATTATCATTCATATAATTTATTACATTACACATTAAATTGTATTTCATTAACACCTACCCCTTCAGTAATGTAAAAACAATAACCACTGTTGTACAGTGTTACAAAACTATCCTATATTGATGTGCTTATCCACAGCTATATCCCTTTGAGACTTTTCCAAGCACTGTTATAAGGCGTTTAATGGTCATCAACATCTTAAATCCTTAAAAAAATGTAAATGTAATTTTTTTAATGTATTTATATTTATTATTTTATGTTTGCGCCATGTTGCTTAAATAGGAAATCCATGTTTTGGTCTAGAAAAGACGTGTGTTAAGGCGCATTGTTGACGCATTGCAATTGACCAGCAGAAAGCGCTCCAGCGCAGAGCGTGTTAGTTGTGCACCTTAAATGTACACATTGCTTAATACACACAGGATGTACGGCAATATGCAAACATCTTTACATATAAAGAAGAATAAAAGAATTGAAATACTACAAAAATTATTATTTTCTACATAAATATAAAAAAAACACTCTCTACATGCCCTCTTCATCTCAGGGGCTTTTTTTCAATTTATTAATGATAACTTGCTTTTGTATAATGCTATTATTATTATTATTATTATTATTTATTAAATGCATATTTGTTTTATTAAAAACAAGCTTAGATTTGTCCACCGGTCAGCTTTTGGACCATATGGGGCACAGGATATGCGTTTGAATATAACAGTTTTTTGACCACACTTCATTATTAATGTTCATTTATTTGTTTGCTAGTAATTAGAACTGAATATAGAAATAGTTTAAAAACAAATCTTTGCACTTAACAAACTAAATTAATTATGTAGGCCAATGAATGTCTTTAGCAGAGTGTTTCCTTAGCAAGGAGAGAAAGAGAAAGTAATTGGTCTGTTTTACTGTTTTCTCACTAGTAAAGTGTTCAGTTTTTTCACTTACAAAGTCTGCCATGTAAATAGCAAATGCACCATGGCACAATGCAACTGACTCTTAGGGCCCTATCATACACCTGGCACAATAAGACGCAAGACGTGTTTCCAACAATGCAACCAATGCAACCTTAATTTTACAGTCTTCAACTACGTTGTTTAAATAGCAAATCCATTTGCGCCACTTTGTGGACTCATGGATGTTCTGGTTGAGATAAGAGGCGTGTTAAGGTGCATTATTGGCATGTTGCTATTTTGAGGAACTAAAATTGTTCAATAGACTAGCAAAGAGCAGGTCTAAAGTCCAGCGCAGAGCAGGCCAGTTGTGCGCCTCGCTTATACATTGCTTAAAACACACAGGACATACAGTAATACACAAATATCTTTACAAATGAAAAAGAATTAAAGGAATAAAATATTACAAAAATGATTATTCTCTACATAAACATAAAAACCAGTACCTACATGCCTTCTTCACCTCGGGGGCTTTTTTCAGTTTATTCACCACAACTTTCTTTTTATAAGGTAATTATCATCATTAGTATTATTTATTATATGCATAATTATTATTTTTTTTTAATTAAAAAACAAGATTCAATGTGTCCACCTATCAGCTTTTGGACCATACGGGGCATAGGACATGTCTTTGGACTATGTAGGTCAATGGATGTCTTTAGTGAGTGCGTCCAACGACTTTCTTTATCCACGAAAAAGAGAAAGTGAAAGTAAAGGCCAAATGGAGGAGGCTCTTTCTTAATTCTTGACTTGCAGATGCTCTGTTTAACTGTTTCCTCGCTAGTGAAGTGTTCAAGTCCACCAAGTAAATAGCACATGCGACTTGTTGAAACGCAACTGACTGTAGACGCTGGACTTTAGATCTGCCCTCAGGTGGTCTATTGCAAAGTCTATTTTAGATCCTGAAAATAGCAATGCGCCAACAATGCGACTTAACACACCTCTTTTCTTGACCGGAACACCCATGAGTCCACAAAGTAGTGCAAATGGATTTACTATTTAAACAACGTGGCTGAAAATGAGAAAATCAAGGTTTCGTTTATCTGAAAATAGCAACACGTCGTGGAAACCTGTCTTGCGCCGGGTGTATGATAGGGCCTTTAAAGGGAATGGGAGATAAGCCTCTGATTAGTTTGTTCTCAAAACACACTCAGAACTCATAAAGTGAATAAGCACAACCCTGTTAAACCATGCGCCACGGCGCAAATCCTATTTTTCCATCCTTAAAATAGCAAAAGTAGATTTGAACACAACCTTAATGCTTTTGCACCATGAGCTTTAGATTGCACTTTGCGCCTAGATTGATAAAATACAGCACAATTTCACAATGCCAGTCTCACAATTTATTTCTTTTTATTGAAAGTGATAACACCATAGTGGAGTTTTTCTTTGATTATTTCAGCAAATAGGATTACAAAAAAATAATTTGTTTTACTGCGCATTGGCTGCAATTTAAGTTTACCAAACTATGATAACTTCCGCTACTAAGAAACCTGGAAATGTGAAAAGGGTCCATATGCACTTGAGCTCAACCACTCTCACTGGCCGGGCTGTGATAAAACGAAATGCAACGAGTTGTCTCTTTTTTTAAAACAGGGAGGGGATAATCTGTGTCCCACCCTGTCTTCAAGTTTCATTTTAAAGTTTGTCGCACACCAAACAGAAATGCACATTTTAAAGCACTTCACGGGACCTTTAAGTACAGTACTAAAGGAGAAATACTTTGTTACCATCCACCACTGGTTTTATTATATGAATTGTATTAAACAGAGTGAGCAAGTCTTACCCTGAGAAGAGAGTAAAGCCAAGGAGCACTGAGGAGACTGTGTAAAAGATCAGCACCATTAATATCTCTGTCTATGGACTGCCTCACTTCCTCTAACACTTCTGCCAAGACCTGAGCCAGACCTGCATCTGAAGGAGAAAAAAGTATTGTAGTATTGATTATTTATAATATCTGATTTGCTGCTGTAACTTTGTGAATGTTAACGTAGAGACACTCAAGTCGTTTAACAATTAAGAGTGATGTTAAAAGCCCACCATTGTCATCATATGCAGATTGTGCCATTGACTCCTCCTCCACCGACTGCCACATGACAAGCTTCTCTGTTCATCAGATCACTGCAGTCTTGAAAATGCAAGAAAATAAAGTAAGTAATCCGCACATCTGCTGAGGAATTATGAATTTTAAGCTTAAAAATGGCATAACCACCAACCAGTACCAACTTAAATATTACCCACTTGTTACAAATATAAGAATAAATGAATCAGAATGAGCTCAAATAATGATTTAAGATAAGTCTTGCTGGCGTGGTCAAGTCAATTTAAATTGGACTGGAACATCGTTCGGAGAGTCTTCTCTCTCCTGGCTTGATTTGTTTATGTGAGAAAAAAAACTTATGCTGTATTTGCAGGCGATATTGTTAAATTAAACAAATAAAACTAATTACACTATTACACTATTCAGGGTTCAACGCTAAGGATTTTTTATACTGGCCCAATCGGGCCAGTGGTTTAGATTTTTACTTGCCAAGCCAAAATTTTCTCTGGCCCCACCCAAAAAAAAAGTTAGCCCTTTAGTTATTCAGCATAACTTTTCTTTAAATACAACTGACAAATTAAAAATGATTTAATTTAAATACAATACTGATTAGATTAAATAAAGTGAATGGTTTAGTAGAAAACTACAACAATTTTATGACTGGATGTATGGATAAACAGCACTCGGTAATATTTCAGCATGCTTTCACTTTCATATTAGACATGAAACACACATTTTTTGGTAGAAATAACATCCTGCCCTACTCATCATTCTCTCTTCATATAGCAGAATATATGGCTATCACACAACCATAGTACACTGTGATATAGCCTGGATTGTTTTGTTTTACTACAATCGATCCGCTTAATCGAGCCAAGACTACCTTTTTCTGGCGATCTCAGACCGATTGATTTGACGTGGACTCGAGCACAGTTGCAGGATTCACATATGCCACGAACCGCGCTTACTGGGCAAACGAGACAGGTTTCGAAACAATCGTCTAAGCATGAAAGCATGCAATTGACAAACAGTCGCAGCCAAATTAAGCTTTAGTGACAAGGCAGGACTGTCCCCGATTGGGCGAGTAACCATTCTGTATACTGTCCCGAGCATCTTGCGCGCTGACCCTGGGCCAGCGGGCAGTCCTTGTTGAGTCCTGTTATAACAGTACACACACACACAGACACACACAGACACACACAGACAGACAGACAGACAGACAGACAGACAGACAGACAGACAGACGCACTCACGCACGCACGCACGCACGCACGCACGCACGCACACACACACACACACACACACACACACACAAACACACACATACACACACACACACACAAAGCATTGTTTTTCATTGGATCAATGTGGTATATGCACATGGACTTTTAATTTTCACACAGCCAGCCCAACGGCTTCCTGTGAATAGTCTTTACATAACAAAATCGTGACGTTTAAGATCTGTTTTCTATTAAAAAAAGTGATCTTCACTGCCTGATAGATATATGATATAAAGTGGGTTTCAAACCGGACAAGAAGCACTGCTTTAAATTCCATTTTCCCTGCCATCTCTTAAAAATTTGGAAATTTATTTTACCAGTATTTTCAATGGAGTTTCTGCGCTAGACTGGGTTTGCGTGGTCTATCATCTTGTTTTATGCGTGAACAAATAAATTAATGTTTTAGTTTATTTAACTTATTTTATTTTTATTAGATTATAAGGTCGATGCTGTAAAAGGAACTACATATATATATATATATATATATATATATATATATATATATATATATATATATATATATATATATATATATATATAAACAATTTTTAATATACATAGCTTAGACAACTTTAAAGGCATTTTTTCAGTATTTAGATCTTTTGAACTCTCAGATTCCTTAATTGTAAGTAGTTGTATCTCAGCCAAATATTGTTTTTTTCCCAAAACTCAGTTTCCAAGAATTTACACTGACTAGTTTTGTGGACTGGGGTCACATGTCATCACCTTGATATTATAAGGTTTTATCTGCTTTCTGAATGATTTTGAGATATTGAGATTCAAAGTTCTGCATTCCATATAGAAACAGTATGTGTGTAACATTTGTTTTTTAAATAAAAAGTCTTAAAATGTAAACAACTTATAAAGAAAAAAAAAACATCCCATAATGTAAATAAGTTTTCATTTTATAAGAATATGGCAATAACTCAATTTTGACAAAAAAAAAAAAAAAAAAAAGTCAGATAGAACCTTATAATTCCAAGGTGACTATGTATTACCAAAAAAAAAAACAAACAAAAAAAAAAAAACCTAAAACACTAAAGAGAAACTCATTGTGGAAATGATCTGTTTTTCATGTAGAATTATAAACACAAAACTAGAAAGCCATCCCACATTTATTTGTATATATATATGACAGTTAAAGAAAAAAAACAACATTGGAGTAATACATTTGAAGTAATAATTCACATGCTATAAAACAAATCCCTGTCTTCTATTTTTCAGCTGTAGAGTTAGTAATTAAACAACAAATATGACTATACAATTAGCAGTATTTAGTTGTTTCACTAAACAAATTATAACAGCTTTAAACTGTCATTGTATTGTAATTATTATTATTATAGAGATACTCACCATTTACCCTCAAGTTGTTTCAAACACAAATAAGTGCTAAACTGGTAGAAATATGTAACCATTAGTAGGAATAGAAATACAATAGAAGTCGAGGGTTATAGGGTTTCCCAAATTTTTCAAATTAACTTCTTTTGTATTGAACAAAAAAAGAAACTCAATCAGGTTTGTGATAAGTGAAAGTTGAGTAAACAATGAAAGTATTTTGAATTTTGAGTAAACTATTTTCTTTAAATGTTTTTTACTAACATTCAATCATTCATTCATTCCTTCAGCTTACTCCCTTATTTATAAGGGGTTGCCACAGCGGAATGAACCGCCAACTATTCTAGCATATGTTTTAAGCAGCAGATGCCATTATAGCCACAACCCAGCACTGGAAATCTTACTATCATATGAAATGTAAGGATTAATAATAAAATCAGTATTTAAAAAAATGTTACAATGAAACAAACATTGTAATACAAAAACAAACAAACTACAAATTACTCTGGAAACATGCGCAAGTCATTTGTTAAAAAATAAAATCTACAAATACACACCAACTCCACTTGAAGAATGGCCACATTTCAACTGTGATCTGTGAACTGGAGTGACTCAGTATTACGAAAGTAGGTCAAAAGGCCATCATGTGAAGATTAGATGATGCCACTCTTACCTTCAGACGCTCCTGTCACCGTCTTTCTCAAACCACACGGACGCATCAACATCCCACATCAAAACCTTTAGGTGCCATCCCTTCAGCTGAGCTTCATATTAAAGTGATCTTCAGCTTCTGGCTCGCCAACATGCATGTGATTTTACTATAAAATGTCTCTGGAAACTCAGATTGTAATCCTTTTCTATCCCACTTAATCCTGCGAGGGGCCGTCCTCTCTCTGTGAGCACTTCTATAAGACCGCCTGCCACTCAAAGCTTCTTACCTCCTTCTGCTTTTAGAGACACACTTACACAATACAGCCGCTCCAACTTTATCGCTAAAATGGAAAAGAAGAAACATGAGAAAGCATCCCATAAATCCAAAAAGCTTAGTCGGTGCCACAGATTTTCTGCGGACATTACGGTTACATAATAGAGCCGGATAAATACATTTGACAACGACAGGGACTTAACAACTTAAGAATAATTGTAATCGAATAAAAATACATGATGATGGGGAGGGTGGGTGTCCTGGTTTTTAATGCCAAAGCTAAAAGCTAGGAGATTGACGGCAATGCTAAATGGAAACTATTACTTTTAATTCCTTATTTCCATTGTAAATTATTACCACATTTTTTATTAATACTGCCTTAATTATTGTAGTGTAAATTCTGGGGCTGCATGATACTTGAAAGATTTGCAATGCTGTTTGGCTTGCTTGTTTGGGACTGGTGGAGATGTTCTTCAGTGGATCGTCTTTTAGCAGTGACACTTGCATTACATTGATCTGAACTAAAGTGAACTTGAACTACTTTCAAGCCTGCCTGACTTGCAGGAATGTTCCACATTTTGAAATGTTGTTATGGCTTTTTATTCTCTTTATCTATCTTAAGCTGCTTTCACACAATTTACACTGTAAAAAGCACTTAATAAATAAATATTCACTTAATAGAATTGAGTACTGTGATTATATTTCATGCAATATTTCCCTAAAGAAATGGAATTTTTATTGGTAATTTATTATAAACTTGTTATTTATGAAATCATACTAAAACAATAGGCAAAAGATCATTTTTAAATATTCACAAACTTCTAGTACAGTGTAATATATTTTGCTAACTTATGTACTTTAAATTTTCCCAAATAATTTAAAGAATGTTCAAATGCAAAAAAATAAGCAATTTTCTATATTCTGTTGGTGAACAATCTATGAAAGTGAATCCACTGGGAATAAATAATTTGTTTTGGTAATCTTCAATGAAAGACTGACCATTTTCTTCCATGTTTGGAGTGGTGGTCCTTCTATGATGATGTCAGTTTGACAGTTTTATTGTCAATATTCTTTAACACTCCCTTCTTAGTTTGCTATGATAAATTGATGCACAAAAGAAAGCCCCGTCCCATACTCAATATTTCATTTCATTAAGAAGTTTATCATCAAACTGAAATAAAAACTTCCAGTTCATACAGACTTTCTCATTCCAATCCACGCAAATGAAGACATTTTAGACGAAATCTGAGAGATCTAAGGTTAGAGAAGGAACCAAAACCATCATCCAAAAATTACATGTGTCTTCATTCATTCATTTTCCTTCAGCTTAGTCCCTTTATTCATGAGGGGTCACCATAGCGGAATGAACCGCCAACTATTCCAGTATATGTATTACACAGTGTACGTCCTTAAAGCTGCCCTTAAAGCTGCAACCCAGTACTGGGAAACATGCATAATTCACACACTCACACACATACACTAAGGACAATTTAGTTTATTGAATTCACTTATACCACGTCTTTGGACTATGAGGGAAACCAAAGCATCTGGAAGAAACATGTGGAGAACATGCAGACTCTTGTAGTGGTTTTCGGTTTTTCTCTAAATGAATAAAATTCAGCCTGGAGGTTAAGATTATCAGAAGAATATACTTTATTGTAATATTTTCCAAAAAAGCAGAGACGTCCATAAGTAGACCCATCACTAATCTCACTCCAGGACAATCTAATGTCCCTCCCGTTTGCTATACCCTTTATCCTTGCTTCCTTCCACCTTTGTGTTTTCACAGATGTTTACTGGTTCAACAGGCCTCTCCCAGCTCCTACTCCTTTACGACCCGTTTAAAGTCCCTTTTTCTTGTTGGCCCTCATAATGTAAAGATCTAATGTATTCATCACTGTTTTTACACATACAGTCGGTACTCCTGACTAGTATCTATGTTTTAAACATCTAAACTGGACTCTTCTCTCCCATACAGTATGTGTCTTTTTAAACATATATAACAGTTTCAACGTATGTTGTATACAGGTAATGCTTTTCTGACACAAATGGTTCTGATTGTATTCACAAGTCCTCTCTCGTGCTGTTTTATGACCCCTTTGCCTTAACCTGACTTCAAAGACATATAATGGCAGATCCATAGGGGCCCCCACTCACCCAATTAAATGTGTCTTCATATAGATTCAGTAAATAAAATAAATCTTCATCACTCTACAGAGAAATGCCAACTGACCCAGACTCGAACCAGTGTAAAACATATGCTGGATAATTTGGTGGTTCATTCCGCTGTGGCGACCCATGATTAATAAAGGGACTAAGCTAAAAGAAAATGAATGAATGAAAAAGTGTTCATGGAGCTTTGTGTGATTACAGTTGCAGATTACAACCACTGAAGTCACTCAATGGACAGCCCTGGAAGATTCAACAAGGTTCTGGAAACATTCCTCAGAGCTTTTGATCTGTTTTGACATGAAAGTATCGCAGTTTCTGCAGATTTGTCAGCTGCACATCTATAATGTGATTTTCCTGTTCTAGCACAATCCAAATGTGCTCAATTGCATTGAGATCTGGTGAATTTGTAGTCATTTGCGAACTTAATGTCATGTTCGAGAAAACCAGTTTGAGATGAGCTTTGTGACATGGTGTATTGTGCTGCTGGATGTAGCTGCAACAAGATAATTGTCTGTGGCTTAATTGGTTTTAAAGGGTTCAAACTGTATCTTCAAAATATCCTGTATTCTCAGTTTGCTGTTTTTAGCTGTCATGCAGTGAAAATCCCACAGTGGCACCAAAGATAATCTAGAAATAAGCAAAAAAAACAAATCAAAACGTAAAACATATGCTGGATAAGTTGGCGGTTCATTCCGCTGTGATGACCCTTGATTAATAAAGGGACTAAGCTGAAAAGAAAATGAATGAGTGAATGAATTCACTGTAAACCCTATAGGGATGGTTGTGTGTTAATATCCTAGCAGATCAGCAGTCTCTGAAATACTCAAAGGTCCAGTGAAGTTCTTTGATATGTGCATGTTTAAAATGAGAATAGAGAAGTTGTAAGATTACTGGTAATTTGCCGGAAGCATCCAGTGAGCGACAGCACACACACATACATATTATGTACATCTTCACATGCGCAAGTGTTCCTCCACGTTTTCATCGAAGTTGTTCACAATGCTTAATTCATCCACAGAATTTGTAATGTAGTCAAATGTGTAAAAATTTTGCTGTGATACAGGCTTCTGCCTTTGGATGTCGCTGGGACAAAGCAGCTGCATGAATGCTAAAGCTTTAAATAAAAGTGAAAAAACATCAACAAAATCCAGACCCCCTTATATGTGTAAAAATACACACGCAGCCATTTAAAGCTCCTTTCTGGTCAATGATGTCAGAATTTACCGGTATTTTGGAATGAATGTGTGGATGCTCTTTTTCAGAAAAATTCCGGAACGTTCTTGCCTGTGTGAACAGGGCTTTTTTATTTACCGATAAAGTCTTTGCTGTAATTTTCCTGATATTTACCGGTATCACAGTGTGAAAGGGTGTATAGAGTACCTCCTCCCCCCTTTTTTCACTCTGCCACTAAGAGTGGTTGACTTTTAAGTGCATCACATGAAAAGCAAATGAAGAGAAGCATCTTGAAGTGGACAGGCAATGTCGGATACTAGAGAGCAACTGATTGGTCAGAAGATTTGATGAGAAACTTGAGTATGAGGTGATGTAAAAAAAATAAATGTTGATTTATTTAGACGTGACAAACTGCAAACTTTTTGATGTTTATATTTTCTAAATGCAAATGTTGTCACTATTTTTGTGCACAGTAGAATATAGAGCTATTTAAAGCTAAAATACTTAGAATAGCTTTATTATTTAATTCAAGAGACCTTTAAATCAGCCTGTCTGGCAACAACAATGTTATGTTTAAAGTCTCTTAAATCACCTTTCTTTCCCTTTCTGATACTTCGTTTGAACTTCAGTTGATCCTCTTGGCCACATCTACATGCTCAAATGCATTAAGTTACTGCCGGGTGATTGGCAGATTTTTGTTAACAAGCGGTTGATGGAGTAATAAAATGGCCAGTGATTTGATGACATGAAACAAGGTGACAAGGAAAACAAAAATCACAATAAAAGATTCCTCTCCCAGTTATGTCAAGTTTATTAAAAGTGAGTAGTCTACAAGAACATAGTTAAAAAAAAAAAAAAAAAAAAAAAAAACAAAGCTGGTTTTATAAATATACAAATATGACCTCAATTCATATGTGTTGTACAAATTCATTTTCAATGTGATAGTAATAATTAATCAACAATGAATATAAATGAAATTGATCAAATCAGCAACTTTCTGATTATGAAAAATAAACCCAGCCCTTATGTACTGTAGATGATTAAAGCTGCTGTCATCTTTATATTATAGTGGATAACAGTAATGTAGCTAGTGACAGACCAAAATACTGGGCGAATCGATTATTATTAAATATTCAGACAATATTTAGATTTGTGATTAACAACGCCCTACAATAACTGGTTAGTTTTTGATTTTTGATATTTTTAAAGAATTCTGAATACATATAGAAAATAAATGTTTTATTATATAATATTATATATACTTTTGACACACAATCCTCAATAAATGTGTCATTTTCTATTAATTTCCTCTATAAAATCAGTCTTTAAAACACAAATCAGTTCATCCCTATAGATCACACAACAGTGTGACATCAGCTAAACTCTTTCAGTGCATGTTTTAATGTATTTTAAATAAATTTTACTTAAATCTCTCTCTCTCTCTCTCTCACACAGACACACATTACAACTAAATTCATTCATGAAACAAATTCAAAATTTCATTCAAAATGTAAAGCTTATTACTAAGTTTTGCCAGTGGAAATATGCTGAGGTCCTTTAGGAGCCCTTCCGTTTAAAAATCCTATTCCCTTTATGCATAGGGTTTAACGCCATG